TATGAGACATCTCTAAGTAGCGAACAATAAGGTACAGTACTTGTACGATCCACCGTCCTGTGATGAACAGAAATTCAACAGACTTAACAGTAGGTTTGCAGTGGCCTATATCATTTATCCTTTGTGTTTTTAATTGAAATCTCACATCATGCGCATGGTGTAGACTAACCGCATTGACCACCTTTTTGCATGCACCCCCATTTTGCAGGGAATTTCTACGCCTCAACAACACGACGTCTCTCAATTTACCTCGCAATTGCTCCCTATCTACGTACAAAATGGCTAATCCAGTGGAGAATAGTCTGGACGATTTTGAGCAGCGAATCGAACGCGCTAAAGAGCGTGTCCGTCAGGGCTCTTCCCAGGCCGTAGCAGCTCATCGGTACGGTATCAAGGGGACTACACTGTCCTACCGTATTCGTCACGGTAATTCGCATCGCGACGCGGCCTCCAGGCAACAAAAGTTGACTCCAGAGCAGGAGGAGGTTATCATGAACTGGATCCTACACGAAAAAGTGTGTGGACGGGCTCCTAGCAAGCGTTATGTGGCCGACTTCGCTGCCGAAATCCTCCTTGCTCAAGGGGATAACAATACACTCGGCCAACACTGGGTGGATCACTTCGTTAGCCGCCATCCACAGATACGTACCAAAATTGGGTGCGTCGTAGATGCTAGCCGAGTTAGAGCGTCCGATTCGAACAAGATCCGAGACTTCTACACCCTCCTCGAACGCTTACGTACGAAGTATCGTATCAAAGTCGGACGCTTCGTCGTGGTGCTCCTGGTTAGAGTACATTTCGCATACCCAACGGGGTACACCTGTCTGCGTATTTTCCGGCAAGAGAGTCCAAGCACAGTGGTTCCCAGACCAAATTATCCCTGAGTGGGAATACACCGCGACGATTAAGGGCTGGAGTAATAAAGTTATCGTAAATACGTGGTTAGATCAGGTTTTTCTCCCCGAGACGAAGCCTAGGGGTACTGAATGGCGACTCCTTATCCTCGACGGCCACCAGACATATATTCATGCCGAATTTATGTGGAAAGCCTACTCGAATAGAGTCGCCGTGCTGTATTTACCCTCACACTGCAGTGACGATCTCCAGCCGTGCCATGTCGGGCCGTTCTCACCTTTGAAGACCTACTACCGCCAAGAGCCCAGGGCTTAAGCTTCCTACAAGGCTACAGCCCCAATTTACAAGCAACGTATGCTAGAAGCATATGTACGTGCCTCGGAGAGAGCCTTTACTACGGAAAATATTAAATCTGGCTGGCGGAAGACTGGTATATGGCCCCTAGTGATGCGAGTGCATATGGGGTGTGAATTGTTGTATTGGAAAAGGATGGCCAGGTCAGCTATTCTGGCCTGGCAGAGCTCTTTTATAGCTCTTATCTATCTTATCTCTAGCTATAGGGCAACCCCCCATGGGGTCACGTATCACCTAGGCTCCGAAGGACTAGTCGACGTATCTTGTGATCCTCCGGAGCCTCATACACCAGATCCTCCGCCTCATATATCACCACCTTTAGTTGCTTTTACTCCTCAGAAAGCGCAGCAACTATCTAGCCAACTACAGTCGATAGAGAAAGCCGAGGGCGGGGTATCTCGTAAGATTCGTACCCTAGTAGGCAAGGCGGGCAAGGCCCTTACACTCCAGGCCGCCGAGAATGCCAAATTACGTATCGAAAACGAGCAACTATATAAAGAACTCGATAAATACGCTCCAGATATATACCAGCCCGTCGAGCCAGACCCGAATAAAGTATTCGCTAACTTATCAGCGATCCGAACAGCCCAGGACAAGCGAAATAAGCGAATACGGCCTATTTTACCGGATAAGCAGTTAGAAATTGATACTTTTCTCGAAGGAAGGGTCCCTCCTAAAAAGAGGGCTCGAAAGAATATATCTAAGTCTTCGGACACTTAAATTATGTATGTTCTGTATATAAATAATATGGACGAAGTATTTAGGTTGATTCAGTTAGACCCTGCAAAATGGGGGTGCATGCAAAAAGGTGGTCAATGCGGTTAAACCACTCGAATGAGATTACTCGCAGATAATAGTACCGAAATATACACTTCGCAAATTCCAGAACGCGATATACACAGATGAAATAGCACATTCGTCAAAGTTGTAGCATGACACCACAACAGGTATGGACCGCTTTTTATCATTAATGTCAGATGTCGTGGTTTGTCGGTGCTCGCGCAAAGTTCGATCCGAGTTGGATTTCACGATTGAGACCCGGCATTCATCTCTTAGGAGCCGAGCCTCCCGACCGGTATCTCATCATCTCAACCCCCCCCAAACCGGCTCGTTGTGGGTCTGGCAGTAAGCTCAAGGCAGGTGGCATGCGGTCTGGGACCTTTAGGACAACACTGATATGAAGGTTTATGTCGATGGAGAGCTGTGGATGAGGCTATATCACATGAGGAGAGCCCCCCAACCCCGCCCCCGGCGGGCCCACACTTCAAACTTTTAACAACTCATACCCGAGAACGTGTGCGAAGAATGAATCAGTGAGAAGGTATTGTGTGTTGTGCGGGCAAAGTTGATGTGCTTTCGTTCAGTCACGCCAGGGCGACAGGGAGCCGCGCAACAGAACGACAATGTGACGCAGGGTATTCATAAGTATCGCATGAAGTACTGCGTATGCGATCGTTCAGGAGATGGGCTGATTGAAGCTCATACAACTTGGCGCGTCAAACTTTTCTCACAATGATTGCTTGCAGATGATCCTTGGAGAATGATGAAGGTAAAGGCTGATGCAGAATGCCCCTTTGACCTCATGAAGGCTAATTGGGTGCATCGGGTGCATTGATTGTAACCTCGATCGTCTCTGAGCTATCTTACATCTGGTGGGTTGTCGATGCCGCTCCTTCCGGCGTCACACTCCTAAAATGGAGCTAGCGTACCCGACATTTTCATCGTCAATGAACGCGCCGTTAATCTGTCGTGGAGTCATGGAAGATGACAACAGCGGCAGCTTGGACTTGCGACGAGGTGAAGCTTCGAGAAGCTGGTGACTCCTGCTTGATCGGCGTACTGCCGTGCCAATACTCGTTCGAATGGCACGCGTCACGTACACTTGATCATATATGCTAGCCATCATCGACCGATACGGGATGTACCGATCAGATGCTACACCGATGTGAACTAGCATTTGCCGAACGCCACTCCGTTGCGGGGTCCACATCGGCGGCACTGTCGGAGCGGATGAGTGGATAGAACGAACCGGCGGACAAGGGGAGAATTGCCGAGGAGAGTTGCCGATATATTATTCGTTGACATATCCGCAGCCCCGGCATGCGGGAGTGACCAGGATGTAAATAGAGTCATCGAGTGACGCTTTGACGAATACTATGCAGCCTTGCCTGAGGGTACTGTGTGCCAAAGTGATATTTTACCTTTCTACAAACGTGTATACCTACCTACCTTCATCGTACTCCGACAAGTCCAAACAGGCAACGCCTGGGCTTGATCCATGATACGTACCTTCGTTTTAACGCCCAGGGGCTGCAACGATAACTTGGGTAAAGCATGGCATACAATTTTTAGAAATCTGACTTTCGAATAAGATTTTCGAGAATATGGTAACTTGTTTCCAACAGACTGACGGCGTACATCGTCTTTAAAGCAAGCAGCGAAGTTGATACAAATTCTCGTGCTTCGCGCTCAAAGTTGGGCGCGAGACAAGCCTCTAACCCGCTTTGGAGCAACGGCCGGGTCCATGGGTCAGAAGTGAGAATTTGTCCCCCCGCCGTTGGGCCTCTTCTGCCCTGATTGTGGACACCCATTACATCCGACTTCGCTGCTAACCTGTTGTCAAACGTGCATAGCACCTGCCTAAGAAAATGACGTCGGAGCACATGCAAGCGATTAAGCCTGTTGCGGAAGTAGTGGGCTACTAAATGAAGCTTAGCGTACTGCCTAGCACTTTAGTGGCAACTTATCTTGAGGAACCAATTCCCTAACGGTTCACGCAAATGCAGGAATTAGGACTGAGATTCGAGCCGCAACCCAAGATCCACCCGTTGGTGACGCCTTGCGCGCAGCCTCCGGATCAATGGCATTCTGCCTCGAGCTAAACGACGAGTCAATGACCTCGGATGGATGCGAAAGTAATACTTGTTTCTGATATGAGGATGATGCCTCTTTCTGTACTGCACTGATAAGGGATTGCAGGCTGGCAGAGTACAAGGCCATGTTGTTGTTGCAACGGCTGGAGAAAAGTCCTCCACTTCAGCCAAGACGGTCAGAGCATCGTCACTTGAACGTGACGATACCGTACAGCGAGGTGTATTATGTGACGAGCAAGGTACACTTTCGAATGCCACGTTTTCCGGTCTCCACTGCACGACCTAGAGTCTTGAGAGGCATCACAGTTGGTGTGCGAGCGACGTTCCTTGACTGCGGCTTGCATCTATGGCCGTGTTTGAACGTTTGAACGACGCCAACAAGTTACCATGCCGCCCTTGTGTCGATGTCGAGCTTCAATGATGCCAAGTACCGATGCCGGCCAAAGCATTCCTTTCGTCAAACTTTCCATGGACGAGATGGACGAGATCGCGGTCGCGGTCGCGAAAGAGCCAGCTACGGACCAGGGGCTCAGTTGCCCCATTCAGCACCGTGCTCCACCTCTGGCCTGCGAGGTCTCGAACTTACAAGCTGTGCACGACCTTCAACATTCTGTTGCAGCCCAATGAGTGGGTATTCACGAGCCATGGAAGACTGCGAGCAAACTCCGGGCTTGTAATTTGTTGGCCATCATGGCATAAATACAGATGCAGCCCCCCCATGGCGTCCTAGGCCATGAGCCAACGTGAGTGTGGATGCCCATCTAATAACACTTCACTTCTTGCCTTTTCCCTTTCTTCTCTGCCCTGCATGGGATAGAATTAACAATCCCAGTTTTCCATCTTTTCAATTATACAGAATTAGAATCACTGCTCATCATGGAGGGAATCGTCGGCCCCATCACTCAAGGACGGGGCAGTATGGAGAGACCGCACACTGGTGCGTCCGAGGCATCAGTATCACACGGCCATCATGCGTCGCATTCCCACTCTCACCACCGTCGTTCATCCTCGCACGCCACCGATCACCGCCCCTCGAGAGTTGCAACCAAGGAGCATCACAGAGATCCCCACCTCGATGTAAACATGCCCTACCGCACCCTCACAGCGGACGCCAATCTGGCCGAGTACGAGACGGAGAACCCAATGGGAGAGATTCCTGGACCGATGGAACCCGGCAGCCGCAAGCAGTACAAGCTCGTCACCTTCGTGTCCAACGACCCGGAAAACCCAAAGAACTGGTCAAAGGCGTATAAGTGGTATGTGACCATGGTGGTGGCCATTACTTGTTTTGTGGTAGCTTTCGCGTCGGCGGTCATCACTGCCGATATTGAAAGCCCAGCCAAGGAATTTGGCGTCAGTGAAGAGGTGTCACTTTTGGCTATTACTCTATTCGTCATAGGATTTGGCGTTGGACCTATGATATTCGCTCCCCTTTCCGAAGTCTATGGTCGACGCATCATTTATGGATCTACGCTCCTCCTCGCCGTCGTCTTTATTATTCCCTGCGCCGTGTCCAAGAACATCGAGACCCTACTAGTATGCCGAGCACTCGACGGTATCGCCTTCTCGGCACCTATGACGTTGGTTGGTGGCACCCTCGCCGATCTTTGGAGGAACGAAGAGCGTGGTGTTCCCATGGCAGCTTTCTCTGCTGCCCCCTTCATCGGCCCTGCAATCGGACCCCTCGCCGGAGGTTACATTGCTGAAAGACTTGGCTGGAGATGGCTCTATTGGATCCAATTGATTCTGGCTGGTGTGGTTTGGGTCCTCATCACCTTCACCGTACCCGAGACGTATGCCCCGACCATCTTGCAGAAACGTGCAGCGAGACTGCGCAAGGAGACAGGAGAGTCAGACCATGTCACTGAACAAGATCTCGATCTGCGACCCCTCGGCGAGAGAATGCGATTGTTCCTTATCCGGCCCTTGCAACTACTGTTCCAGGAGTTGATCGTCTTTCTCATCAGTCTTTACATGTCGGTGCTGTACGGGCTGCTATATATGTTTTTCCTGGCCTACCCTATTGTCTACCAGAAGCACAAGGGCTATTCGGCAGGCAAGACTGGTCTCATGTTGTAAGTACATGGAACTCCCAGGTGGTGAAACTCCGTTGAGGCAAAATGGACCTAACCACAAAACAGCATCCCCCTGGCCGTCGGCGTCATCCTCTCAGCAGCCTGTGCCCCGCTTGTCAACAGGCACTACCTCACTTTGGTCCGCAAGTACAACGGCAACCCACCAGCCGAAATGCGGCTTATTCCCATGATGTTCAGTTGTTGGTTCATTCCGATCGGTCTATTTATCTTTGCCTGGTCTTCGTACCCGGAACTGAGCTGGGCTGGACCGGCGATGGGCGGCTTCTGCGTTGGCTTTGGGTAAGTGCTCCCTGGAAACCTCTTAGCCTGTCCTCCCATTCTTTACTAACAGTTCTTGAAACAGCTTCATCTTCCTGTACAACAGTGCCAACAACTACCTTGTCGATTCGTACCAGCACCAAGCAGCCTCAGCCCTTGCCGCCAAAACCTGCATCCGATCGTTCTGGGGTGCCGCCGTCGTTCTCTTCACCATCCAGATGTACGATCGCCTGGGCGATCAGTGGGCTAGCACGTTACTGGCTTTCATCGGTCTTGCGTGCTGTGCAATTCCTTTCTGCTTCTGGAAGTGGGGTGCCCAGATTCGCACCCGTAGCAAGTATGCCTATAGCGGCGACGACGACACTAGCGACGAGGAAGCTGTCGGTTCTTCTAGCGACTCGACGGATGTAGAGAAGGCCCCGCAACAGACGAACACGGCCCCGCATTGAGCGAGGTCGCTACATTCATCAAAGCATTAAACACACACAATGTAAGCCTCACCAGAGGCAAAAAACGTGACCACGATATGGTACGGAGTTGCAGGAGGAGACTTTGAAAACTCTGACGAGATTACAGCAGTGCTGGGACAAGGGCGACTCAGAGCGCAGGATTATAATAATTCATAGAGTCGCTTCGGCGACAACGAGATACCCCAACCCCCCACTCCCTTCGATAGAGAGACGTAGATAGCTGGCTAGCTATTCAATTAATATGATTGACTTCCGCCAAAAAATTACATAGGAAGGTCGACTTGACTATTCACGAATATGGTAACTGGCAGAAGTTGAGCGCCACACGACTGGTGCATTGCAATGCGCACAGCAGTCACAGCAAACTGTTGTCGATATTCCCCTCGCATGCTCATGTATTCTACCGAGGCTCCGGCATGGTCTAATCACATCATCCCAGACGATTGTGATGGGACTGCTTAGTTTCGTTGTCCGAGACTTACCACCTTGGCGTTTCCAGCAAAGGTGCCTGCTGCTCTTAGGGCGCCAAACAAGAGTTTCAGGACGTCATTTTTTACGGTACCGTAAATACCACATAATCGCTTAAGGAGCCTGAAGATATGTCATGAGCGATGGAGCACGACATCATTAAGCACTATTCCTGGATGTGAAGTTAAGATTCGTGGGAAGCATCTCGCGAAAGCGCATGAAGAAATGCCTCAACAATTGGCATTATCTGTCACATTGGTCGATAACTAGAGTTTAGTTTCTGACCAGGTTTTCTCGAATGTGATGCCATTCGTGTTCTTATTTATTCATCTATGCTAATCTTGTCCCGAGTCGCTAATCGAATGCTTCCACTCCTGGAAGGGTTGATCCATCAAAGACCAATAATAACAGAGATCTCTTGCTTGTCCTGTCCTTCATAATCCCGATTTGAAAATAATTGAAAATGAAAATGAAACAAAACCGTAAACTCCAGTGCCAATGATGATCCAAGTCTATAAGGTCTTTTTATATCCGTTCAGTTTCAACCAGTCAATCAACCAATCCATCATACGACAGCAGCTGCATCCGCCTTCTCGCCGTGCAGCACGGGGTTGATAGTCTCATCAAAGTGCATCTTGAAGTCATCACCGAGCTGCTTCCTGAGCGCCGTCTGTACCGCCTCAAGGACGTTGGGGAAGACGCCAAAGTTGGCTGGGTTGTTTTCGTCGTTGTCACCGCCCTGGAAGACACCAGTGCGCACCAGGCACGTGTTCCAGCCGTACATGTTACCGCCGATGATGTCGGAGGCCGGGTTGTCGCCAATCATGTAGATATTCTCGGGCAACTTCTCCTCGCCGTGAATCTGGTCCATCCATGACGTGATGACCTCGTCGGCGTACTTGTACGTGGCCAGCTCGGGCTTGCCGTACACGACACGCTCCAGGTCGACCCCGGTGAGGGCCCGGTACATGGCCTCGAGGCCGATGCGGAAGGCGCCCTGCGACATTCGCGGGGTCCAATGCTCCGTCGGGCACAGCAGATCACCCTGGGAAAAGTAGATGGGAATACGCTGCGAAACGGGGTCCTTGGCCTTGGTGCCGAAGCGGCCATTCTCGGACTGCAGCAGATCCATGATGATCTGCATGTCGGTAGCATAGTCTCTCGAATCGGAGAAGACGAGTATGGCGCCAATTTCGACCTTGGTAAAGTCACGCGGCTTGGATGTGGCACGCTCCTCGTCGGTGAAGACGCGGTAGGGCGCAATGGTAGGGTCCCAGGCGACAATGTCGTTGGGCACCACAATGTCCTTGAAGCCGTATACTTCGGCCACCTCGCGGCACTTGTAGCCTTCGCCACCAACGACGAGCACCGTCTCGTAGTAATCAGCCAGCGCCGACATGGGGGTGTGGGACTGGATGAACTGGTCGGTCGATACGGGATTTTGCAGGATCTTGGTGAGTTGATCGCAGCGGGCCTTTTCGGGTTTACCGCTGCCGTTGGTGAGGAAGATGTGAGGAATCTTGATGCCCAGCTCGTTGTCTCCGTTCAGGATGTCCAGAGCGCGCTGACCCTCGGGGATCAAGCGGTCTCCGTGGACGAGAACACCGTCAATATCAAAGGCGAAGGCCATGTTCTTGGCCTTCTTGACCTTGGCCACCTGCACGTCCTGAACCTGTGAGGCCAAAAGCGCTCGCGAATTCTGGATTGGCGGCATGCCTGGGCGGGAAGGACGTCCATTTTCGCTGGGGTAGTGAACCGACGACAGACGAGACTGTCGCTTGGACCGGGGGATAGGCAGCGAAGCTCCAAACGAATTGCGCGAGCCCCTTCTGTCCTTCTGTGAAGGCGATACACTCAGGTTATGCATGTATTTGGCGGCCTCAGAAACAGATGATCTCGACGCAGGTACTTCAATAGGTCCGTCGCCGGTGTGCTCTCCTGGAATTGGCAGTCCACCAGGAGAAGTGCCCATATGGCCATGGTTGCCAGCCGATAAGGAGGCCTTCTTGTTCATGTCTCCCTGTTCCGGGTTAGTTTGAGCGTTGTTGTTGGGTACATCGACGCCAAAATCGGCATCATCGAAGGCGGGCATCTTGATGGCTTTAGTAGGGGTCCAAACCCGATTCGAGTAGTTATTCAGGGGAGCTACGGATGGATGGATAGATGGATGAATGGATGGATAGAGAGGGTGAAAGAAATAGAGAGATATCAACAGAGAAAGAGAGATATCAATAGAGAAAGAGAGATATCAACAGAGAAAGAGAGACATGGGGCGAACGAGAAACGTTAAAGGTACGCGAGGTCGAGCGCTTGACTATATATATACCTTAACGTACTTCTGTGTTCGTAATCAAGCTTTCGTAGCTGTCGATTAAAGCGGCGGCCTCTTCTTCACTAGGCTGACAGGCTCTCATCAACCCAATCTACCTGCTATCAGGGCCGTCACAGCTCCTTGCCGTTTCTGGCGCCATGCCGGTACGTACCGACAGGCTATGACTTGGGCCAACAACGTCATCGAGGCGCGTGGTATTTGTAAAAAAGAAGGGTCCTGCAAAAATGGAATGGGGACCCTGCCCATTCATGAAACAGCTATTTTCAGTTCCGACGAATGCCATCGCCAGCGCGAGCCATGAATCGCTGTGGTGCATGAATCGACTCCGAGAAGAAGCCGTAAAAAGGCCCGCCCGATGGAGAGCGGCCCACCGACTCTTCTCCGCCACCTTGCGCTCCAGCTCCGTTTATCTGACATCATTCCTCAACGGGTATCCGTTATAGCGGAGCCTGCCGGGTCAGTGGGGTTTTCGCAACCCTAATTTTTCTCAGCCCTTGGCCCATTGGCGATTGCCCTCTGCGGCGGTTGGTCCCAGCAGCCGCTTGCCCAGTTCGGAATTCGATTCGTAAGGATTCTCAAGAGCCAACAAACGCTTTTAGCGGTTGCGCTAGAGATTAACCGGGTCTTCTCCCTTTACCCGTGCCACGCCCCACCTTTTTTGATTTCGCCGAAGCTCACCAACTAAAGTTGGTGCTGGACACCAAGTTCGCCAGGACACCAAGTACGCCAGATTTCGCAAAAATAGCTGCTATTAACTAAAATCGACGTAGCTGCTTAACCACACCACCTGTAGTTACAATCTCTGCTGGCTTCAAATTGCCATCTTTTCGCCATTGCCTGGACTTTTTGGCTGCTTCTGAAAAGGCCTTCTTGGCGGTCTTTTTTATACGTTCGTTATGGCTATCCAAAATCCGTTGTGCCTTGACGACTTCACTTTCAACCTTTTTTTTGACCATTTCCCGGCCTTCTGAAACAGATAAAACTCCTCCGGATTGAAGTTGATAGTTCTTCATTGATCGGCGCTGTTTTGCAACTCGTTCGGCGTATTTGGTGCGGCCAAGATCCCGTTTAACTTGGACCAGCTCCGTAGCGTTGATCAGGGACCCTTTGATAAACCGATTTAGCTTGGTGGCGAATTCGGGGCTAAGACCAAGCTCAGGGTCCGAAAGGGAGTTCTCGATATGTACAGCTACTTTGTGAATTTGTCGTAGAGTAGTCGGAGTATTATCGATAGAGGAAGAATGAGGTGGTGGTGATGGTGTAGGTGTTTTGGCTTGCCGTTCATAGACCTCCTGCAAAACTAGGGTAGGATTGAATGGATAGATGCCAGTTTTTCGGAAGGCCGATTCGATAGTACTTCTCTTGAAAGTAGACTTGCGTACGTTTTCGATAATTGACAAAAACTCCAGTTTGGAGATGTTCTGAACGCCATCACGAACCAGCAGATCTAGCGCTTTTGCGTGGTAGTGTTTGTACGGTTGAAAAACCACTACGTCTAGCGGTTGCAAAAGATGGGTAAGGTGAGGTGGCAATCCAAAGGGGATAATATCGTGATCTTCGCAGAACTGGATGAATTGCTTCGTATGATGTGAACCGTGGCCATCTATAATTAATAAACGGCGACGGCCCTTTTGCGACTTTCTGGATTGGTATTCGAAATGCTTTAACCACTCTAAGCAGACCTCATCATTTGGATACCCAGTATCGACTGGGCATATCTTCGTTTCGGGGTGGAGGCTTTGTTGGTACCATTGAGCCATATGAACAGTTGCTTGAAGGATGATAAATGCCGGGATAGAAGCGCCGCCAGCAGAGATAGTTTCGATAATAGTAGCAGATTCCCTATTTTCTGGCAAGCCGAAGTAGTGAGCGCGTTTCCGCTTGGTTACGATTAGCTGATTCTTGCCTACTCCGATCCGGAACCCAGTTTCATCCATATTCCAGATATCATTAGGGCCAATCCCGTTTTCTAGAATAACCGTCCGAAGCCGTTCGTAATAGAGCGTTATAGACTCGACGTCCTCAGCAGATTGACGTTCAGCTTGAAGCTGTTTTTGCGTTCGATGGAAGTATCCATGACGCTTTAGAAAGCGCGTGGTCCATTTCGTACCGACTGTAGGGATTTCAATCGGCCGGCCTTCGCTATCCGTTGCCCGAAGCCGCTTCAAAAGGATCAGATTGGCAGCTTCTGTAACAAACTCCGGGCGAACAGCCAGATTGATTCGATCAAGCCGATCAATGTAGTTGCAAAGAGCCTTTTCTTCGGCTTTGGTAAAGGTCTTGTTGTTGCCGCCGTGCTGTTTGGTGTCTGTAGGGCGATTGACGCGATCGCGGAGGGTTTCGCGTTTGACTTTGAAAGCAGCTGCCACCCTCGTTTTTGGGGCTTCCGGATGTTCTAGGGCGTATTGAACGGCATCGTACAGACGTGAAGCCATCGCGAGCTCGAAAATTTCGTCGTTTTGGTGGTTAAATGGTAGTGTAATGATGGATGTTTGCGAAATCTGGCGTACTTGGTGTCCTGGCGAACTTGGTGTCCAGCACCAACTTTAGTTGGTGAGCTTCGGCGAAATCAAAAAAGGTGGGGCGTGGCACGGGTAATGCATTATCAAACCCCTTGACTCGTAAGGCAGCCAGGCCCAGAGGCTGGTACGGGCTGGTAGGGCATCGATGCCGCCTGTTCCTTATAGCCAACCCACTTAAGATAAGCACCATGCGTAAATCGGGCCACCCAGAAGCAGATCCTGTGCGGTCAAGGCTCAAGAGTCACATACCTTGCTGTTCCTGACCCACATCATATGTCGGTCCATAGTAACAGAAACCACCACCGCCCACGTCAGAGCCCATGTTCCGCAGATGTCGGCAAGGAAACCTTTGCTTTGGAAAGAGTTTTCACTTGGGCCATGTTGAATGGCAAACACCAGGTTGTTGGGATAGGGCCATGACGTATAGGTGGTTGATAAACTGTATCAGCGCCCTTGAACGAACTTGCAGCCATTTTTGACCGCTTTTGTAAACCCTCGCCTGCATACTATACGAACTCTTGACTGTATTCCTGCTGTTACTCTCAGTCACGCAACGCAAACGCACGCCGCCAACATGTCTGCTGCTACCGAAAAGACGTTTACTTTGAACAATGGCGTGAAAGTGCCCGGCCTCGGTTTTGGCACTTTTGCCAACGAGGGCGCCAAAGGCGAGTCCTACAAGGCAGTCAAAGAAGCCTTAAAGATAGGATACAGGCACTTCGATTGCGCCTGGTTCTACGGAAACGAAGCGGAAGTCGGCGAGGCCTTCCGTGACTACTTCAAGGAGAACCCATCGGTGAAGCGCGAGGACCTCTTCATCTGCACCAAAGTCTGGAACCATCTCCACGAACCCGAAGACGTGAAGTGGTCGTTGGACAACTCCCTGCAGAACTTCGGACTGGACTACGTGGACTTGTTCCTTGTGCACTGGCCGATCGCAGCGGAGAAGGACGAGAAGCACAACCCCAAGATTGGAGTGGACGGCAAGTACATCATAAAGAAGGACCTCACCGAGAATCCCGAGCCGACTTGGCGCGCAATGGAGGAGATATATGCAAATGGAAAAGCCAAGGCGATTGGCGTCTCCAACTGGACCATCGACGGCCTTAAGCAGCTCCTCAGCTTTGCCAAGGTCAAGCCAACGGTCAACCAGATCGAAATCCACCCGTTCTTGCCCAACGATGCGGTGGTTAAGTTCTGTCAAGAAAACGACATTCTCCCCGAAGCCTACTCCCCATTGGGGTCGCAAGACCAGGTTCCGACCACGGGCGAGAAGGTACGGACGAACAAGACCCTGAACGAGGTAGCGGACCGAAGCGGTCATACCCTTGCTCAAGTGTTGCTGGCATGGGGCATTCGACGCGGGTACGTCGTGTTGCCCAAGAGCTCGACACCTTCGCGCATTGAGAGCAACTTCCAGGTGCCTGAGTTGTCCGATGCCGATTTCGAGGCTGTCAACAGCGTGGCAAAGGGACGACACACGCGCTTCGTCAACATGAAGGATACTTTCGGATACAACGTGTGGCCAGATGAGACGGTTGAGACGGGCACAGCTGTGGCATAATGGCCTTGCACTGCTATAAAATGCGATTGCAGACTTTGAGCCGCGATGGCGGGGGTCGGCCAAAAGATACCCTTACTCACTTGATGCCCGTTGACGCCACAGACATTGGGCATTCTGAGCAATCTGTGTCGACTTGAACGAGGAATGAAATCATACGAATGATAGCGGCACCATATCGATATGAATCAACCCAAATACGTTCATCGTATGCACCATTCTCGGGTTGAAAACCATCTGTCGACGTGGCGATGCATGTTCGATTTCCCCGCACCGCGTTGGACAGCATCGCTCCGCTGGTTGCCAACCAATGTTTGGTGGTTCCAATAGCTTAAAGAATGAACAAAATAGACTGAATTTGCCAGAAAGTTTGATACGATAGCAATCCAGCATCAACCTGGACGGTGAAACGCGCTCAACTTGGATAGCAAGTTTATTTGTAAGAAGATTCTGCATTCCAGTTTTAAGATCGATAATCGCCGCGGATATATGTAAGTCCGCCAAACCTTGGAAGTTGGATCCACTGAGTTGGAGGGATCCAGCACACAACTTTCTTTGTCAATTTCGTGACAAAACAGGGATTCTCTGCCAGAAGAAATCGCATTTACGGCGCAAATCGAGTCACACATAGGTTTTACCAGAACCATCAACATCCTCGTCTTTTTCATGCCATAGTGTGTCACACTGTTTCAGCATCTTGAAAGACACAGGTATCTGCTGAAACTCGTCCCGCACCAAGCTATGAACCTGTTGGGGAAAACCCAGCAAGGTTCCACTTGTGAATTGCGGATAGCGCCTAGGTGGAGTGATAGGGAGTTACCGGATTGAATACAGATAATGTGGATGCCATAGAACCAGAACCTTGGACACGGAACTGCCACTGAAGTTATATTTTGGCGTATAGTGAAAGCCTTGATTGACACCGGAGCAGACGAGAACGTCGTGGACTCCAGAGTGCTTGGCATCGAGCCGAATACGCTACAAGACTCCGGCGAGACCCTGCGGGGCATGTGGGGAAGCAAGGGCCCCAACTATGGCAAGAGGGTATTACATACAAAGATGACGGACGGCTTCGGGGTGACGAAGATGAAGGCTCACGAATTCCGAGTCTCCAACGCAGAAGACTGGATTGCAATTCTTGGCCTCCCCTGGTGCCGTGTCGTTGAGCCTATATTTCGATGGTCCTCGTTAGGATGGACGTACCCTCTCGACGTCGATAGTCTACAACTGGTGACAAGCAAGAAGGGTATACGGAATGCCTACCACGAGGCAAAGTACGGTATGATAGCAATGCCCGCGGTAGCAAGGATCGAAGCTGGCAATGACAGGGGAGCCGGAGCGGAGCCAGAAACAAAGTGTGCTACTGTGCCGTCAGAATACGCAGACTTCCTCCACGTATTCGATGCGCAGTTGGCAGGAAAATTGCCAGATGGAAGGGATCGGTCACACAAAATCGAGCTAGAGCCAGGGGCCGAGCCGCCGCACGGACCCATCTACCCACTAGCGGAGAAAGAGCTCGAGGAACTACGAGAATATTTGAAAATGGCCCTGAGAAAGAAATGGATTCGGCCCTCGCAGAGCCCAGCTGGGGCGCCGATCCTGTTCGTACCAAAGAAAGGAGGAAAGTTAAGGCTATGCGTGGACCGTTGTGGGCACCCCTACCTGAGACCGCCAGTGACCGCCAGTGACCACCCGGTGCTACGCAGTAGGGATGCCCATTTACTCCCCATCACTCTGTACTATTGCCTTCGGCCTAGCCGTACCCTGACACGTTGATCTCTCCACCCGTTTCCGTTTCCGGGCGTACGGACTGTTGGGGAGAAAAATGGCGATGCGAAGAGTCCAGACCAGAAACCAAACCACAGCCGCAGGGACACCGGTTGACACCGGAGGGACCACATCGAGTAGTGCGATAACGACAACAGCGACGCAGACGAGTGGTAGCACTGCCGACGATACGACGACAACGGCGACGATGAGGCAGCAGAGCCGGTCCCAACTAGAGGAGTTCGAGCTAGAAGACCTCGACCGTCTAGTAGAACAAGAAGTATTGAAGAATAAGAAATGACAAAAGATCGAACAATTGGCAGCCTTAAGAAGAGGGGAACCGCACAATAGTACCGCCGGTGAGACCCTGGTTGAACCCACCGAGCCAAGACCAAAGCGACCCCGGCTTGATCTAGGAGGGAAAGGCCACTTGCCGACGCTTAAGTACCGGGGCACTAACTGGTCGGAACTTACCTCGTTCATGTTAAACCTAAAAGGGAGGTTTATGATGTACGCAGAGGACTGCGACACTGATGCAGCGCGTGTACTGCACACCACCGGGTGCCTTGATGGGGCGAGGCACCTATAGCTTCGGAAGGCGAGCGATAGCGCGGAGCACTGTGGTTAGGCCACAAGTGTATACATTATCGTGAGCGATTGTCAGGCAGAGGTTTTCGAGCAATGGCTGGACCGATGCTGTGACGTGTGAGAGCGGGCGACAGCGCGAAGCACTGTGGTTAGGCCACCAGTGTATACGCTGTTGCGCGTGCGGTCGAACATTGGCTTGCGAGCGTTTTACTGGGCCAATGTTCCGACGATTGGGAGCGTAGGGCCACCGGTGCTGTTCCGGTAGGCACCTATAGCTTCGGAAGGCGAGCGATAGCGCGAAGCACTGTGGTTAGGCCACAAGTGTATAAGTTGTCGTGAGCGATTGTCAGGCAAAGGTTTTCGAGCAATGGCTGGACCGATGTCATGACGTGTGTGTGCGGGTGACAGCGCGGAGCACTGTGGTTAGGCCACAAGTGTATACGCTGTTGCGCGTGAAGAGTTACGGGGTATACCCCGGAGGGCACCGGCGCGGCATCGGAGGATGTGGGATAGGAAGGGCCGGTGTTCTACGGGATGAGCGTTGTGGCCCTGAGGGCAGGGCCTTGTCAGGAGGGGTCGTCATGTCAGAGACACTGAACGCAGGACACCGGTGGGGTGCCGGTGAGGTGTTTCGGACAAAAGCCTCCCGAGTCATGATTACAATCTATGTGAAGTTTCGGGATGCCGAGAGTCAGGATTCCCGGCATCGCCAAACCTGCCGCTACGCCGGGTCCAAGCGGCGGCCTAGCTATCTATATAAGGACCATCTCGAAGTAGGATAGGGAAGGCGTAGAGATCAATGCATCATCGTGGGCACCCCTACCTGAGACCGCCAGTGACCACCCGGTGCTACGTAGGAAGGACGCCCATTACTCCCCATCACTCTGTACTATTGCCTTCGGCCTAGCCGTACCCTGACACGTTGAGTTTGATATCGATGTCTGCCACTGAGAAGCATGGAATATGACTGCAGTTCAACGAGACGGCGGTGGATTGCCCTTTAGCTACCCTAGAGCCGCGTTAGTGGACAGATACTTTTACTGCATCTTTTCACGTGCTGGAGAAGACCGCGAGGTTTCCAGGCTTTTCGGGGAGATACTCTCTATCAAACTAGGGCTAAAGGTAAATGGTGATGACGAGTTCACAAAAAGGCTGGGCACTGGAGGATAGATAATATAAGTGCTGGCCTGGGCCCTTTCGACCATGAGCTCGCGATGGGTTAGGTCGACTTCACAGAAAATGAAGTTGGACATCTCATCTGTGTCTTTTCTCCAGCACTTTAATTACGTCCGTAAACCCAACGATATATTTATATCACCGTCGATGCATCCGGGCTTGTATTTCTTGAAGAGGCGGTGTCTACTTGAGATAGTATCTCCAGGTCCAGGTGACCATAACTACGTGGTTACTATGGTATCTAAATAACTTTCTACCCAGCAATTTACCCGGCACTTTGTATTGATTCGTTTCTGGTTTGCTAGGCATGATGAAAATAGTGGTATGCTAGGCTCGGGAAGAAAGGGGCTCGAATGATAGTTGTTCAGCGGTAAATAATTATCTTAAACCATACGAAAAGCGGCGACTAATTTTTCAATTCGGACGGGGAGGTAAAGGCGCGGAGAGATGATGGAACGTACTTGGAATGGCATTAACAATTGAAATACAAATTGTCATTAAATTTGAACAGGAACCTGACATCAGCATAAGAACTGTCACACCTTCAAGGCTACTCCGTCAAGACTCCTAAGTCAAAGGAGAAAACTAAAGCAGCAAACCGTAAAGGTATGGGTCAATATGACTTCTACCCATTGAACCACACAAGTCCCGGCTGTGGGGCAGGTATCTGTTATTTCAACCTATATAAGGCCCCTGTGGCCGCCTTGCTTTACAGAGGTCGTGACACTTTTAATACCAATCCATTTGCCCACAGTTCAACAGGAAATTGTTCACGTTGACAATTATAGCAGTTATCATGTTTGAGGCAATTCTTAAATTCTTACCTCCTAACCTAATGCTAATATTAGACTTGGCTGAAATCGTGAAATTTTCATCATCGGTCTCGGTACAGCGCAATCCTCTGCAGCGACAAATTCATACCAATTACCATTGTATAAGTATAAGGAACTATCGAGTGATGCTCCTTGGTAGCGACAGAAATAAATAAAATTAAGGCAGAATATCTTAATGAACGACTTTTAAATATATCCTTATGTCCGTTGACATGTCCAATTCAATGGAGGAGGACTTGACCTGGACCTCCTGTGTAATACACCCTCATTTAGCGACGCCAATGCAAGAGAAGTACTCCTTGAAGGAGCTGGCTTCAAGAGCGAGAACACCATCCTGGTCAAGGAGACAGGCGGGGCGCCAGAAGGCGGGCTCGACACGGTCGAGCAAGCCCGGGTAACTAGTCAGGCCGACAGGCTCAGTCACACCCCATGGGTTGCGGAGAATAATGTACTGTCGATCACCATGGTTGGTCCAGCCGAGGACGGAGTATGCGTGGTTGGCAACAAGGTTAGTGCCGCGGTAGATTTGACCACTAGCGTGGGTGTACGCCGCCATTGGGTTGATAGTCTTGAAGTTGACAGAGCAGTGACGAACAAGACCGACAAGGTCGTCAGAGTTGTGCTTGTCGCAGAAGTAGTAGTGCGGCTCACGTCCGTTGATCTGAGCCATAGCCTTGATAGGATCACCATGGGCAGTTTGCGTAATGTCGGGTCGCTCCGAACGAGAGTTAGACATCCACTTGGCAAATGCCTTCTCATAGAGAGACGGCCAAATGTCGGCACCGTCCGATGAGCGACAGTAAACAGGATCGTTGCTGCTATTGTTCACGGGCACCTCAAAGTCAACCTCGACAGTCTCAGTCTTGGAATTGTTGCGGCCACCCTTGTCGTGGAACTTAATCTGCAAGCGGTCGCGGTGACGGCGGTTGTGCTCATCGTTATCCTCCTCGCGGCGGCGGTGATTTTCGCGAGGAGCTCGGTTAATGACAGACGGGTTTGCCCAGAAGACAGAGAAGATAGCAGCGATGAGCCAGCTGTTGCTGAGAGCACCTTGGACAGGATCATCGAATCGATTCCTGTGGGTGCAGTTGTTCATGCTGATTTGGTTGTTATTGTTGTACTGTCCATTATAGGATTGCCCATTCAAACTGAATCGGTTGAGGTCACCAATGATGCGTTGGGGTATGTTCTGATACAGAGCCTCTCGGACATCGCGCCACTCGCTGTTAGGCGGAGTCCATTCGCCCTTCTCGCGGCGGAAGCGAGTTGCCAACTCGTTCAGGGTCATAGTAATGTCCCTGTTGTTGACAGTTCTAGCAATGGAATCGGCGTCAACGACGAGACGGAGCTTGCCATTTTGCATGCGCGCCATCTTCACTCGGCTCTCGCCAAAGCCCTTGAGGCCAAGCTTCTCAAGGTCCTCCAACTTCTGAACCCGCGAGAGGTCAGGGGTGACAAGATCTTTCTCCTGAAGAATCTTGGTATCCTTCTCGTCAAGCTCCTCAGCCCGGCGATCTTGACGGTTGAGCTTCAACCCGGCAAACAGAACCGAGTCATGCTTCAAGTCGAAGAGCTCGTCGTAGTCAGTCTGAAGAACATCGGAGATGATACGAGCGGATGACATTGAATGGCGATCCAGCCTGTGACCGATCATGGCCTCAACCAAAGCATAAGGGTTGATGGCGCCAACATGAACATCTTTGGGGCGAGAATCAGGAGTGGGTTCACGGCCCAAAGAGTCGTTTTCGTTTTGGACGACGTCGTAGTCCTCAGACATGGCTCCAGAGCTCAGAGGCCTGTCAATCTTTCGGCCGGTCAAGGCCTCAAAGAGGGCGTAGGCATCAATGTTGCTGGAGGGAACCTCAGTGTTGACCATTTTGAAGAGTTTGTATGGCTGTCAGTCAAAGACGAAATATGTATAGATGTGAAATGCTACTTTGTATGAGCTAATGGGAGTGATGATGGTTGATGTTGATGGAATAGGCCAAGTGGGATGGAACGGCGGATCTCACTGAGTATTTATGCCCCTTTCGAGTGTCTCATACTTCCGGACTAACAGGTATCCGTATCAGAAATGAGGGGAAACCACAAGCCATCCTGCGAGTAGCCATCATAGAGTCTCTGTAAACTGCTCTCTCGTATTGGTGAACACCCTGGATGCTCTCGTTCATCATAGGCTTCGTCAAACGCATTGTTGGGAACCCACGTGAGACTGAGTTTCGGGGTTGGTTCTCAATGCAGACTAAGTCGGACCAGCGCATCTTTTAGGATTAATCTGAATCCAGTTGCCGCTTCGTGGTACTATGCAGCTGCGATGTCTAGTCTGTTCTAAAAAGAAATGAGCTTTTGCGTTTAGTACTGGGGCATGTGCGGTAGTGAGACATTCATTGCTCGGCAGCAATTGTAGTTGTGTTTCGCTCTTGCGCAAGTACTCATTGTATGCTCCGATTCCTAGAGTGACTTGCCGTCCATTCGACGACATCATTTCACATTATGAATTGTAAGACCGGCACTGGAGTTAGTCTTGCAGTATAGTCTTGAGGTTCTGCAGAATAGTCTAGACCACTATGTAGCATCGATGTTCATGGACATGTAAGATGGCCAAGATCTCCTGACGATGTCGGTGGCGCGGCTCCAACGCTAGCCAAAGCATCCCTTGAGTTAGATCAAAGCGTACCTGAGGACGGGGAGACTAGAAGAGATGCGGGGAATGTTTCCCATTGGCAAGAGCCTCAACGTTTGCTTAACCTTGGGTTTAACAAATAGATTAGGCCCCTAGGCCTGCTTCTCAACGGATTTCGACGGCCGAAATCATCGGACAGGTTACGCGCAAGTGGAAACGAATACGGGAAGGCTCAAGGTAATTGGATACTAATTGGGTACTCAACTAGGTTTCGTTCAATGGAGAACTGGCTGGTTACATAAGGTACCTCGCAAGCTGTGCAGCTTTAAGGCAGTCCAAACTAAAGCACTGGAAAGCTTTACATAACGGGAAGTTACTGGTAGCTGCATAGAATTCTGACCGTGTTGGCAGGACCCTATCCCGATGATGCACCCTGTAGGGCCGTTGGGCGTTGGGGAAACTGAACTAAGCTTGCGGAACTCCAGAGCTTACTTCAAGGTAAGGCTTTGACGGTCAAAAGAGGGCATTGGCTTGCCTATACGTCAATAATTACCTAATTTGAGCAATTCCACTCATGAATTGAGTTTGGTTCCTAAGACTCGACATAAAGGTTACCCCGCCGCCATGAATACGCATATGGCTAAATCGACTTCTGGGTTCCTTGGCGCAGAGAGGAGAAACAACTTTAGTCCAGTCCCGAGTTTCTTGATGTATGTGCACTAGCTAGCTACCTGGGTAACTAATCAAATTGTTTCTAAGACAGGACAATCTGCCGCCGAAATATGTTGATTAAGCTTGGACCTCGTGCTCTCCCACAGTAATTGCCTCGAATTCCCTTAGATTACAGATCCTCGTAGCACCACAGTGCATATACAATTTCAGTCTGGCTATGCTCGTCCACAATATTTGACTGTGTTATCTGTTTCTGCCCCGGCACAATAAAGAGTACATATTGCTTCATCGGTGGGCCCTGGCAGGTTGGTCCGAAGGAGGAACAGAAGTCACCAGGATAGACTAGTGGAGCCTTTGCGTGAATATGCTGGCTTGTTGGCTTGCCCGTCTTTCATTTGCATCTCATTCACTAGTCTATCCTGGTGACTTCTGTTCCTCCCTCAGATCAAGCTTGTATTAACCCCGCCTCTCTGACAACGAGAGGTGCAGATGTCTAGATGGCAACCGGCACAGCTTCGAATCACTTCGCGGGCTTCATTGCACAACACTGGAATAGCATGTCCATTAGATAGAACCTTGCACATACCTTCTAAGCCCGGGGCGAAGGCTTGCCAACCTCCCGACGTATAGTGATGAAATTCTGCTTCAACACCAGCATACAAACCCTGTCGTCTACTTGCGTCCAGCACCAATATCCTGACAACCACTGAAACTGGTGCCCCGTCGACTGGGCGAGAACATATCCAAGGTGGCTCCATCCAAGAAGTTTCGGCAAAATACAGACCACCGACGCGACTTTGCGGTATGGTTTCACCGCACCTGAACTCCTCAAACCCGTCGCAAATTCCAGGAACGCTATTGCTCAGGATATCTTGAGGCGGCATGGGAGCCGACTCGTCCATATACTTGCTGTCGCATGTGATTAGGGTCTGGGATTGAGTCTGGCGAGTACTGAGCAAGGATTCAGTCGTTGTCTTGGTTCCGAATTTGGGTCGACGCTTGAACGGGGCTGGAGGCTTGGCAGGTGGCAGAACGAGGGTTCCTGCGCTGGCTTTGGCTTGGGCCACTCTCTTGAATTCGTCAGTCATATGGACTGGGAGCGTAGTCGAGCAAAGTGCCGGCGCAGAAGACCTCATTCTAACGGATGACACTCACACGCAACCTCCTGGAGGGCGATCTCGTACAATGATAACCCATTCTCATTCGAGACAGTTTACGCGCCCCTAGAGAACGTGTGTGTCGACCGACAGTGAAGTCAGAGTGTTGCCTCGTGCGACAGCGCACTCGACCTGCGCTGCAGCGTAGGCACGATACGTAGCTGCGCAATGCGCTGTCGACGCTCAGTTGTTGGTGTCAAAGGTGGTTTCGAAAGGTATATACCGGGCCATGCCTATTCAGAAGTATTTACTTAGTCGCGAGTTCGGTGGTAATTAGGTACAGGCGACCGCAGAGGATTCAATAAGAGGAACGAAAAGCTATGCGATTGCTGACGAACCTGTGCCCGAGCTGCGCTGCCCCGGGAACTGACAAACGCGTTTGATTAAATACCAAGGTAACTATAGCATCCGGGAGGCATTCATCTTGTGACCAGACCCTTAAAAAATACAGAAAGTTCACATCAAGTTAGTGGAATTAGAACCTGAAGCGTGACATAGATGCTGCACTCGTGTTCTCAAGTTCCACGGACAACTCACTTCGGGAATATTCACCACCATAACCACCAACCGCGTCATAGCAGAGAAACTATAAATACTACAGACACTGCTTTAGCAACGGGTATTTCATACAAGCCCAAATTCGAATTCCCTACGAATAAATTTCCGAGGTCTACCCAGACTGCGCGGCCATGACAGGTACAGAGGACAAGGCACACTGCTGCATAAACAAGCGCCACGTCTTCACTCGCGGCGGGCCGGCTGACAAATATATGTATGAGCCTTGCTCTCGAGAACTGCCTCCGGTAACGTAGAAGAAATGTGCGATAGACTTCAGATTTTCGTGCCTTGGTGCGCTAAGAATAGAGCTTGCGAGCCTACTTGATAGCATACCCATGACAAGGAATAATTGAAGATGCTCAGCAACGGACTGTCAACTCATACAAAAAGAGCGGAGATCCAGCTACCAAAACCCAACAATCGTATAAGCGTGAAGATTCTATAGCGTCGACTTTACCGATGCGGGACTATGAGCGAAGTTAACCAACCCTTCTGCGGCCACCCCACTTAACAGCCTACATTAGAATCACTAACGTACCCCACAAGCAAGTTGGCCACTTTTTCTTGGCACCGTATGAATAACTTCAATAACTTAACTAAACTAAAAAAATATTATTATTATTATTAAATACGCCGTAGGCTCGAAGCCCCCGGTACCTCTGCTAGTACTCCCGTATGTCAAACCGTGCCCTAATGGCTGGACTAAATACATACGCTGCGTCGTCGGTTCGCCCTATTGGCGACTGCGTTGCGTTCACTACCATACTACGTTGGTTCTCAACCTACCAACAAAGTCACCCCTGAGAAGATCGATGAAAAAAAATAATAATTCAAACTAATCGGAATCCTCTTCCTCGTACGTATCTTTATCATTCTCACAAGTACGAGCATTATGTCCGGGCTCTCCGCAGATCCTACAGCGCCGTCGGCGTGGTTCGGCCGGTCTCGTACGACGACGACTTACACGTATATCATCCTGTAGCTGCTGTTCAATATCCCGTTGAGACTGTAAGTCCTGAGCGTCTCGTAAACTAAGAGATCCTCCATCTTGTAGCTGTCGATTTTTAGTCCTTCGACGACGGCTTAGCTCTTGATTGGTCTTCCAAAGTGTAGTAACCTCATCCTTGGTCTAGCATCGAGACTACTCTGACGAAGCTAAATAAAAAGATCCTAGCCCAATTCAGATAATAACTATTCTACTTTCTCCAGACGAATATTTACATGCAGTGAAGTTCACATAGATGATATCCTGAGCATGTTTATTTCTTGAACAAACTGTAACAGTCACAAGACGGTAATTGAAATTGAAAGCCCGAGAGCTCGATAGCCTGAAGATCACACTAATCTCAGATATAGGACGTTGTTGATGCTAATTTACATATAGTCCTCAAAATTTCCCAACCGGAAAGCGAGCTATTCTACATATTCTATGATCTGGAATTGACAAACTTAAAGTTGTTCAAGAAGACAGGCCCTACAGGGTCGGAAGATATCCTCCGCAGCCACCGCCGTTACAAGCCGCTGCGCAAGTAATATCGGAGTTTGTGGCTGGGTTTAGCGCCGCTTTCGCTGGTAATTGAAGAAGAATCGGACATTTTGAAAAATTCATACATTTGACGTGAAAAGTTGAGGTGCTCGAGACCGCACAAGGCGTCTACATATATCATCTTTCTACTCCCGCCTTAGACGCCTTGTGCGGTCTCGAGCACCTAGATTTACTCAACTGATATATACATGCCTATACTCACATCAACCATCATCCGATAATGCCACCTCACTTTATCACTTCGCCCTTCTCCAAAAAATGCCCCTAGTGAAATAGCCGCTATGATGTCAAGTTTCTGGTGATGTCAAGACTGGGAAATTAGAGTCGAGGGTTTAAGCATGTATGATCGACAAAAGACCAAACGGTCATGCCCCTATACCATGTTGAATGCGGTTAGTCTACATGCGGTAAAACGACGACCAAAACACCCAATCGAGACAAAGTGCCGGCCCAAATTTCGGTTGATCGTCAAGCCACTGCACGAAATCGTATCAAGCCGCGAAGCTGGTTTCTTCTGATCGGTCAAAACCCATCCATATCGCAGACAAGCAAGCACGATCTGTACTAAGGTATAGGCATTGGCGCTCTTCATGTGCCCTGAAAGACCAAGCACTCAATGTCGGAAGTTTTGTAATCATACACGGATACCTCACTACTGATCACCTGGCACTACGGCTCAGTCTACAAGAAGCACGTCAGGTCTATCGCGCTAAAGGATGCCAGGGAATTAGGAAAAATGGCGTTCATTGCGGTCGAGTGATGAATAATGCTAGGCGACAACGTCCGAGTGAGAGGATGCGCATATGATGAACCGTTACGCCTATAAATTGACAGAATACGCCCTCGTTTATGCCGCTCTCTCTGGTATCCATCGCCTCAACCCAAGTGACTTGCTTGTCAATATTCTGAAGATGAAGTACCACACCTTAGCCCTTGCGGTCACTACGCTCCTTTCTACCACTTCCGCATTCCCTCGCATGGATGCAGAGCAGCTCCTGACCTACTACCAGCATTCACAGAAGAGCACGGAGGCTTGTCCATTTTCTCAAACACAGAAGAGGGAAGTCCAACTAGAGCCAGGAACGACCTCGCCGAAGACGAAGAAGTCGGCCACTTTCAATGCTAAACAACAGCGCATCCGAGTGGATGGGGAATATGCTTTCGTCCCACCTAACCTCAAGGCTGGTGATCAAAGAGGTGAGCTGCCAATATTTGCTAAGGCTTTGTACTCAAGCTGACCTTCCTAAACAGGCCCTTGTCCCGGTCTCAATGCACTTGCCAACCACGGATATCTTCCTCACAATGGCGTGGCTGACATGGTGACTATCATCCGAGCCACCAACGAGGTATATGGCATGAGCCTTGACCTCGGAGGATTCCTGGCTGTATATGGTACGGTCTTCGATGGAAACCCTCTATCCACAAATCCGGGTTATTCCATTGGCGGCCCCACCAAAGACAGCCAGAATATCCTCAACGGCCTGGGCCTCCTCGGGAGCCCAAGTGGCCTCAGCGGCAGCCACAACAAATACGAATCGGATGTAAGTGCCACGCGTGGCGACCTCTATGTGACAGGTAACAACTTTCATGTCCAACGCGACCGCTTTATCGACTACTACTACGCCATCCCCGAGAATACCCCCGCCCCGGAGCAATACACGGCCCTGGCTCCGTTTCACAAGCGGCGCTTTGACGAGTCCCTTACCACCAATGGTTACTTCTTCTACTCGCCCTTCGCCGGCATCCTAGTCTCGCCCGCTGCGTATTCGTTCCCGCCGCGCATGATGGCCAATCATTCGGAGCAGTATCCTGAGGGCTACCTGTCACGTCAGACCTTCGCCTCCTTTTTCGGCGTTGAGGGAAGCAGCCCAAACAATTTTGTAGTCAAGCAGGGCTGGGAGGTATGATTCCTACATAATCTTATTTTATTTAGCCAATTATCTAACTCCTTTCGACAGCGGATTCCTGAGAACTGGTACAAGCGGCCCACTGACAATGATTTTTCCATTCCTGATTTCCTTCTTGATGTGGTTGAGCATGCAGCGTACTACCCTCGTCTGCTATCTTTTGGCGGCAATACGGGCAAGCCGAATACATTTGTTGGTGTGGATGTTGCCGATCTTACAGGCGGCGTCTTCAATTCTGCCACGCTGCTCAACGGAAATAATCTTGAGTGTTTCGTCCTCCAGATCATCCAGGCTTCTGCCCCGGATGTCTTGGGTACTATGTTCTCCGACGTTGAGAAAGCCATGGCCCCCTTGACGGACAAGATCATCCAGCTTCTTGCTGGAAAAGCTTGCCCGCAGCTTCAAAAAGTCAATTCACAACTGTTTGAGAAGTATCCGGGTTACACCGAGGCTTACGGCAGCTATTCTGGGCTGTCCAAAGGATCCGCTGGTGGAATTGTTGAGGGTGCTACTGGTGTGGTTGGTGGCCTCGTTCCTTCCTGAAACTAGCAGTACGGCTAGGTGTAAGTAAGGTTTTGGATAAAAGAAAGGGTGAATTTGCGTTTCTTGTGTATAGTTGTCCCTCACTTAGTAGTAGACGTCGAGTGAAGGACGGTATTGCTCGTCGGGTGAGCAGACAATTACCATGTAGCTGTAGTATAATTCAATGACTAAGTATATCATGTCAACACAGTCTGAGCTTATTGGAAAGTCAATTTCAACCGACTAATTTCAGGCTTCATCATGGCTCCATCATGTCCATTTCGAGTGGTTTTCGTAAGTTATGAATATTAACAATATCAATATTGCTTGTATTATTTTCCTTACCTCTTTTCCGATGAAAATGGCTTCATATTAATCATTAGCCGGCAAAGTGTTAACATGCAATAAGTACTAAAGTGCGTATCAGCGAAAACTTCTAACCACAACAAAAAATCAAATCCCAATTCTATTTTTGATAACAGAATCTAAAGGGTAGTTATTCCGGTGAGACGAGAGATAAGAAGCATGGCGGAACAATAAGTCGATGTGATTAATATTGGGTGAGAAAATGACAACCCAGATTACCAAAAGAAAAGCACGACTCGAAAGCACCAGTACTAAACAGATATCAATTATTAACGCCTGATGTGGGATTCGAACCCACAACTTTTGGATAGTCTTCTATTGCGACATACCATAATAAAAGTCCAACACGCTAAGCCATTGCGTCAATCAGGCCCTTGATCTGGTCAAGCCTGCTTCAGTTATAGTTCATAATCGATTGGGATTATGGCAGGTGCAGACGGCAATCACAGGCGTAATCGCCTACTGGAATGGCAATGACGTCAGTCCTTCATAAAGACACTATAATTACGTCTGAGTTCAGACCCTAAATTCTGGGTCAGTGACGAACCCAACCGATATTTATTCATACAAGCATTTTTATATTTGGCGTTCTACAGATGGGCGAATAGGTAATATCGCCATAGTACCATTCTGCAAATCACAAGAAACCAAAGTTTTGAAAGGTAATTTTACTAGAATTGCCCAGGTATTTAACGTCAGTTTTTGAAGGGAGACAGGATTTCAGAGTTTGAGATTCAGCTCCAGCTGCGTTGTAGTCAGCAAGCAATCCGTCAGGTTTGCGTATCTGAGGTCCAGAGCAATGAAAAAAGGCCGCATGATTTGTTTATATTTGTGGTCATGGTAGTCGACTAGCGGGTTTCTACTAACACTAGATGTGCTTTAATGTTTTACGAAACCGGCGCGACAGTGTCCTTTCCACCCGACTGAGAATCGCAACTAAGAGCCCCTGAGGTAAAGTGGTGCAGATACCTTTGCACCCGGATATTTGACCTAACCCTAGATACATTGTGGGGTCCAGAAACGATGAGTTTAATGGTGAAACAACTGTACTCGGTTGCAAGCTAGGGGATTGTTGGATCTCCTCCCACGTGTGAATCGGCTCAGAAAACGTCCAACACATGAACTCAGATTACGAATTATAATCTGTCAGTGATTCTGAGTGAGAGAATGGCACACCCAGGAACCCATGGCCGTGCTTAGCGAAGTTACCATCATGAAGGTATGATAATAACTTATTAGGACCTAGGACTATCTGTTCAATAACAAGCACCAGTATCAGATTGATCAATACTACCAAGCTCTTGAGGCTACTTATTCCTCAAGAGCTTGTGTTATAGGTAGATTAGAAGCTGTATCACCACCACAAACAGCCAGAAGTGTGTCCAAGTGATCGAGACTAGAGTATGATAGCAACTATGGAAAATCTTTCATTCCCTAACACCTTCAAAATACTTCCTGTACCATATCTTCACCCTCTCAAATAAGATGGTCATAGAGCTGATGCTGGATCAGATATATTTATCATCATAGCCACAGAAACCGCCTTGAGGAGGACTCTGCTTTGTCTGTAAAACCTTATTTAGTTATCAATAGCTGTCATAGATCAGAAAAAGCCAAGTCATGGTCATACCTTGTGTCCGCCGACTGAAGACTGTTCGCCCCGTGAGTCTCAACATAGAATAGACTGTGGGAGATTTTCTGCTGGGTTGCAAACGGCTTCGTCTTGATTAGTAGAGTAGTTGGCATATGGGGTAGCATATGGGCAGTAAGGTAGTCCAGAGTGGGCCCAATCTTCATAACTGCATCGTATACTACAGCCAGCACTGTTCAATGGCCACCACACCCACACAAGGCACCTACGGATGATTGTTATGCCGAATCTTTTGAGAGGTACATTTCAAAACTTTGATGAATTCCATATATTTTAGCGTTGAGAGCGCAACACACAACCTAAGACACTGAGGCAAACTGTTGCAGAGCAGGAAGAGATTCATGCAAAAATGGCTTGCCTTCCAGATTGTTAAGCTTCTTCATCTAACATGTCAATATCGAGCTTATGAATAAGATCAAGCACCTTCCCGAATGCCTCTATATACACTACAGTGAAGCCAGTCTTCCTCATCTTACGACCCCATCAGAATATATGAACAGCTGGAAACAGGTTGAGCTGGAAAGACGCGACAGACCTGGTAGGCAGCTTCCAGAACATGTATCAGATGCTCGCACAGGCGCACTGTACATCGGTATCTTGCCTGCCCTACGAGAGACTCACTTGGGGCCCGCGCGTCGAGATCGAACGCATATGTGCCATTCTCGACCAACGTGCTCGATTTCTCAAAATTCTTCGAGTCGTCATTCTTATTCTCAAGCGAACGCGAGAGACATATTTACTGTGAGGACAAGCCCCTGGGCTTGGTTTCCACGGTCGAATTGATCACTCCCGTCATAAACGATGTCCCTACCATCATCAGCTAAGAAACGAAGAGGACTACATCAAGGGAAAAGTCAGGCATATTTGTATTTCATGCTAGTAGTAGAAAGCGTCGCAAGTTTTCTCCCTTGTGGGCTGCACAAATTTCGCAAGGCTTCTGGGGCAGCGACCGACGAGGTCCTCGCTACCACATCCCGACGATATGAAGCAACACAATCGCACTTGAAGGAAGCAATATCCTGAGACTACCCGGACGGAGACCTCGGGTGCCTTTTCTGATGACAAGACATCACGCGAGTACTGAAGAGATCGATTTGAGGCGCTGTTGGTCTATTTCTTACTCTACCAAGACGATGCTTTCCTTGAAGAACTCGTATGAAGCCCAGCTGACGCAGTCTCTGGAGTTGAAAGGTGGCTCGTTGAGCCTTCTTTTCCTGCTGAAGAAGATGTGCAAAAAGATCACAGTGACCACCGAAGGGCAGCAAGATACTCAGGAAAGAGGAACATACAGTTTGTTTCCTTAGGATTGCTGGATACATTGAATTCGATACCATGACGAATCATTTCGGCGTTCACGATATATGGGCCTTTATCGAAGGTACTGGGTCACGTGAAGATTGGCGCTGCTGATATCGCGCTGATATCGCTTATGCCGGGGACAGTGAAGATCGAGATATGGAACCCGCTACGCGCGAGGGAACCGTCTGCGTTCATCTTGCCGAGAACAAAACAAAATGTTCGCATTTGAGGTAATAGTTAAATTCCAGAGGGCCTTTCCTAATGATACTATTGGTCCTATCGAAAACCAGTAATATGACTTCCTGACGGGCAAGTGGTGAACATACTTTTCGAGTCTTTTTCGGTTCATTGGGGACAACGGTCATTTGTGATTTGCCAGAATTTTCACAGTTGAACTGAGGTATTTACTGTACTTTTGTTTATTCAAATTCATATAATTATTTTGTTATGCTAGGGAAAGATACTACACCTATACGGTGTGAAATATTGAAGACTAGGAGCTTAATGTCCGATTATAACCTGTATATTCAAGTACATAAACCTGTCAACTGTAATATTTCCCAGAGTTAATGCAATATAGTGTCAAGAGCTGTTAAGCGAAGGTTCGCTCAAAAGAAGGGGCTTGCGACAAACAGAAAAAGCGGAATGGCCCGTTGAACTGTGGCAGCTTGGGACACAACTGCGGCGACATCGGGAACCACATGCGTAGTATCCAAGAATAGAACTCGACGCACGCACTTTACATCTGACGTATCGAACAGTTTAGAGGTGTCCGATGCAACGGTGGGATGGCCTTGCGGTATCAGCCTATTTTACGTCTCGACAATGCCCATTTGCAGTGTGTCATGTTGAAGAGATAGTGCAGAGACACGTGGAGGATGCCGCCTCACTCACACATTAACAAACCCCCTCCCCCCTTCACGACTCCTATTGCATAGATATCCGCCCGATTTCTTGACATCTTTACGTATCGAAATCGGAAGTCCAAACGTTGTGCTAGCCGCCATCATGCTACGTTAGAGTTATGTTTACAAGCGGAGTGGCGGAATTGCTGGATCGTTCTCATTTCACGTCAATTTGCCGTAATTATCACAACATAGCACTCGAGGCGTAGTCATTCCGAAGAGTCCTACCGCTGGGTCGCCTCAAGGTGCTGCCGTGATACAGGCAAGCGTTGTATTCCATCAACGGGACAAGGATCTCCATGAACTCGAGTGTCTATCCAACAACGACAGCTAACAGACCGCCCTTTTGGCTGCTGACCAACTCGTGTATGTCGTGTCTGAATCAGTCGTTCCCAAGCAATCCGAGGTCCCAATCACAGAAGATACGATAGATGATCTGTCAACCACATTGCAGACGACACAAGACTGGAACTGCAAGCCAGCGTGAGGGGTCACGTGCAGCCTGTTTCACCATGATTTTCCCGGGTGGCCTGGTTGGACGGTGCAATAGTCCATCTGCAGGAAATGGAACGGTGTTGCTGCAATGATATGGAAGGCCGGGCAAATAGCGTCGCTAGATGCTGCTACCTGCCTTTCTGCCATTCCGCATACCAAGCCGACCGACACTTACTCGAGTACGTACTTCTTACCTCGTACATGACCCAGCGGGAGCCCAGAATGGGAGTCGAGGGCCACGACGCGAAATTGGCCGAGCACCGCCCTAGAAGAACTCAATGCGCTTGTCTTCTCATTCTTATGTGGAAGACTCATTGCTCCTTGGACCCTTCTTTTTGTCTTGGCTGTCATAATTCAATTCACTCAAGCCCAAGGGTCTTCCTGTGATAAATTGGCATTGAAGGGTGAAAAAAGAAGTCTGGATGTCAGGAGACAGGAATTGCAGTATGTGGAGTCGCGGCTGATGCATCGACCTTCTTCGTCGCCCAACTACGTGGACCTCCCGATAACCTGTTGCAATGTTGCGGGGTTATTGGCGATTTTTCAATTTATTCCTACTCCATAATGCGGCAAAGTCGCAGTCACGGTTCACCTCTTCCACGTTCTCATCGTTGGACTTGCAGGCATTGCAAAGCATCTCTAGATTCAAGCGCGTGCATGCCCCGCTTGTACAGTGAGAGTGGTGGCAGCCTCAGCCTGAAGTCTTCTAATCGATGCGTGACGCTTGACGCTGCGACTCATCCGAGCCATTCCATTGCAATTAAAGGCTGGCTGGCTGCTCAACCCATTTGCTAGATTCAACGAGCGGCGGGATCCTCATCAAGGGCAAAGGCCCCATCCAATCAAGACCCTGTTCCTCGTTGTGTGAGATTTCAGGGTTTTTGTGCTGGCTCTCTGTAGGAGGCGGGCAGAAAATAGCTGTCGTTTCGCCGCTGCTCGTCTGGAGGTCGCGTTCCAAGGTTGGGACAACTTGGAACCTCTAGTCTCAATTGAACCACCTCTCTCCAGTCCCAACGTCCAATTCCCACAATTTGAACCTGGGCCCAACCGCGCACAGCCTCATCGAGCCATCGGGTCGCTCGGTCGTTGTATCTGCCTAACTTTGCGTCTCTACTTTTCCTGGAGCACAGGCAGTTCCGACGACGGCTTTGATTGCCACTATTGAGCACCATACGGTCGCGTGGGGAATGAGTGCTTAATTACAACGTTGGAACGCTAGAATCAGCTGCTAGAATCTAACGAAGACGACATGATCTGTAGCTGTCGCTGTCGCCTCGAGACTCAAACACCCCATCCCTCGGTATCCTGGCCTCCAGGAGCCTTCACCACCAATACCAGGACTGCTTGCCTGCCTGACATTTCTACCGGTGCAATTGTCTACCCCCATCCCATCATCGCACAAGCAAGCGCCGGCCTCTCTGGCACATTGCAGCGCTGACTCGCTGGGCCCCATCTCGGTCAGCCAGTAGAATCGCACCGCGACGCGTTTATTGGGACCAACCTGACCTCTCTGGGACGAACCCTAGCGGGGGGAGCATCCCATCCAGACTGGGGAAAAACGTCTTGCGCCGTGACCAGACCCGACTCGACCTTCGAGCGAACCTCACCCGATTCACTGCATCGCTCATCCCTTGCGCGCTGACTTGCCAGGCACCGCATCGCATCCACACAACGTTGCGCACGCCGTGCAACACTTCCGATCCCCGCCCCGCAACCCTCGTCGCTTACTGCCTGTTGGGATCTTTGTTCTGGCCTGCTGCTATTAGCTTCCCCGACGAGCCCGAGTCTTCTCTCTACACTCGACTCGACGCCGAGGCTCCTCAGCTGCGCATACCCACAACTTCTCTTCACGACGTTCTTTCGCCCGACCTTGTCGTCAAGCCCCGCAACCCAAGTCGTTGCCAAACTCCGTAACACCTTTTTTTCTGCGACTTTCCGGCCATCTTCTGATCCAAACCTGCCCCGAACTGCCGCTGTCACATTCGCCGCAGCCGATTGCTACCCGAGAGAATACAGCCGACTATTCGCGGCTACCGAAGTGTCGCAAGGCAGCCCCGAGCTTGTCTATATACCTCCAACTTGTTGATATTTGGTTCGTCGTCCATCGCAGGTCGCAAAACAGCTTGCCGGTCAAGTTTGTTCAAGGCGGCAGCGGCACGCCCGTTAGGTCACACCAGTGACACAAACCTCACTCTGTCAGAGGCACAGGGGTCTCAAGCCAACTGCTTTTTCATATTTTTTCCGGGTACGCCAGTGACTTCAGGCCTCCTCCTCCTCCAAGATGACTGCAATCGTGTCAACCGGCTCATCACCAGCTACATCGCCTCCAGCAGTGCCTCATCCCTCGGCGGATTCTAATCAGCCCCCGACCCTGCCACCGTTAATAACTTCACCTCCAGCCCGTCGAACCAACCTGCCGCGCCCAATGTCGCACGCCTCCAAAAATCGGTTGTCCCAATATTCGACGGGCTCCATTCCGTCCCGGTCGCGACCGCCCTCCCAGCTATTTCCAATATTCCACTCCAGCCTGACGTATACCTTTGTGCGGGACTTTGCCTACTCGCCAATGCACCCCATGCACTATGGGCCCCCGCCAGAGCCTTCAGGACCTCCCTCGGGTATCACCACGCCGGCGAGCGAATCACGACGATCATCCGATCCTTTGGCATCATGGGAAAGCAAATTAGGTTGGGACTGGACGTCAGATGGAGGTCTCGGCAAAGGTAGCGACCTGGCGCCGATCCATTTCGGTGACGGTCCGCCTTGGAGCGAAGATGAAGACTTACAGAGCCCCGTTGTCAGCTCCCGGCACAGAAAACATAAGTCATCGTCGGCATCATTGGGCCACAAACCCAGGGAGTCGAGAGAGGAGCGCCCTGTCCAGGATGGATCTTCGTTATTGAACCCTGATAATTATGACGGAGAGCAGGGTTACTTTGTCGGAGCCAGCGGCGATGGCAGCGAAAGATACTACATGAGCCAGGGAGGAGAGGCCAATGGCCCGGGAGGAGAATATGTCACATATCCAGCTGACCACTCACGTCGATCCACACAAGTCCCTTACCAAGTGGTAGAGCAAAGGCCCCGGCAATATGTAGACCATGACGCTGGGTACAAGTCGGGGTCCGACATATCGAGTGCTGCCTCCTCGCCAGGTTTCCGCGAGTACGACCAATCGCGGTATTCAAGGGATTACCAATTCACCATCACCTCGCCTGATGAGGAGATGCATGGAAAAGCAGTCGCTCTCTTTGATTTCGAGCGCGAGAACGAGAATGAGCTACCGCTGGTTGAAGGTCAGATCATATGGGTCTCTTATAGGCATGGCCAGGGGTGGCTCGTCGCAGAGGACCCGAAGACGGAGGAAAGCGGTTTGGTACCCGAGGAATACGTCCGCCTTCTTCGTGATATCGAAGGGGGAATGAACAGTCTCACGGGACATGTCACTGAGGGACCGGGCACTCCTAATGACGTGGGTACCCCGACCCAAGCCGAACCTGTGGGACCCTACAGTCATGCGCCGACGCCGAGCAACGCCAGTGGGATTTCAAACGGTTATCACCAGCCAGTGGTGTCAACATTTTCTACATCGAGCAAGGATCTCGATCCTTATCCTCAGCATTTGCTGGCACAGTCCGGACAAGCTCCTCCACAGGTCGTACACTACCATGGACAACGAGGCGGAAGTCAGGCTAACACGCCCACTGCGCAGCACTCCTTTGAAGGCATTGGACGACGAGGCAGTCAAGATACAATAAAGCGACACGACTCGACATCCGGGAGGCCGGCACTTGAAACTCTTCCCGATAAGAGACTGAAGTCCCCGGTCGAAGAATCTGATTCCGAGGACGAGGAAGAGGAAGAAGAAGGGAAAGGCAAGCGGTGAGGCGGGTGAACACCGCCGTGTAAGACCCTAAAAGAAGAGTCGCAGTTGCGTGCAGGATACACAACGTCTACCCCGAAAGTCTGGAAAGTACATGTTGGAATGATCCTGGGGGTATCGGTACCCTTTTCGCCTCCGACGGCACCGAGCCCACGCACACTGCTACGAGTAACGGCGCACGATGTGCTCTGAGCCTCACGGAAACGCTCGGCATGCTTGAGGTCTCGCCCTGGTTCACAGCTTGATACTAAACGTTCAAAGGTGGATCTAGAGCACGTAGCCTTTCCGAGCCACATTTGCCATGATCCTACCTTTTCGTGCAGTTCTAATCTGCGTTAATGAGACTTGGATCTACAAATTGACAATAAGAAAATTAATACCAGGTTCGGCCTCCAAACTTGACTGGATCTTTGCTATTTAAGTGACGAAGATATCTGCACCAGACTCATTTCGATTTATTTACAAATGTCGACCTTAACAAATGATGTTTGTTGGGCCGCCCATTCTGTGCTCGCTGATACCGATTTCAACCTTCCAGATCAGCATATGACTAGCTTTGAAGGCGGTCATCGCTCGGGCTCGCACATTGAATCAAATAGCCAACTTCGTCGGCATGCTCAGTTGATTCCCACGCAGCCCAGAACGCCACCAACCCATCAGACTCATCCGGTTCTTCAACTCGATCAATATCGAGATCTATTGACGAAGGCATCAGGCGATGTCATGGTCGGTGCGAAATCATTTGGTGTGGTACTCCCTGCCGTAGATAGGAGGCAGCTATTCTCGCCAGTGCGTAGAAAGGTGGTCATGTGCTCGACAGAGGGAAACGAAGGTAATTACTCGCCATAGCTGTAGTCTCTTTCTGAATGGCTAGGATGAGGTCGCATAAGTGTCCGTTGCATGCTATAATTTTCTATATGAATGAGGCTTATGTCGCTAGATGCTGTGTTCTATACTGAGGGTGCTACTCGCGTAGAAAACCCTCCTGGGCTTCTCAGTCACGTTGTAGACCGACCATCTTACCATTCATAATGCCGTGCGTGAATGAAACAAGGACAGGCCAAATGAAAGTACTGCTCTTCTCCCGAGATTGGCCGCTTGCCAAGATCCAGATCTCGTCCCCGACCCAAGGCTCTTAGCTGAGTCCCATGTAGCCGTGCTGTATGGTGGAAACCTGCTGCTTATACCGCATCGCTATGAAGAACTTCCGCACGTTGGCAAATTCGGGATGTGTAGATTCCAGAGCGGCCTTTGCCGTTTCTGTCTAGACCATCCAGCGGCGAAGTATGGTCCAGGGAACAAAGTCTTGCTCAGAGAGACGCCGGTCCCTTCCAGAATTTGGGTAATTGATGGTATCTTGAAGCATGGCCCGCAGAAATGCCCCTCGGTTGAAGCGGGATCCGAGTCAGCATGGTGTTGAACTATACTGTAGGCCAGTGTTCCCACTCTTAAAGCATCCTTAATTCATCGTCTTCAGGACAAGGAAGAGAGGCGGCATCGAAGAGATTCAGCTTAATCCCATAAACCCTTGATAGGGTGCCGTCGACAGTGTTACGGACTTTCTACCCACCAGCGGTTTGAAAGATTCGGAGACGAGTTCTTCCTGGTAATGGATTGGAGATAAAGTACACCGCCTTCACTGTTGTCTGGGAGCACATCGGGAATCCCTGAAGGCGACCCCGGTCGCCGCAAGCGCGGTCCAACGAGCGGGATCAAGCTCTGCTCTAAATCAACCAGGAACCCTGTGCAGTCGGCAAACATCTTGTCCAATACTGGTTGAGTAGTCGGGCGACATGAAAGCAGGAAGGAGCCCTTCATCATCCACAGCATCTGGTAGCAGACCTAGTATACGGTACACCTTATCCAGTGGACCCGTCGCCTCTTTGTGTTTCAAAACACATTATTTCCCTTAGCGCCCTACCAAGATATACTGGCCCTCAAGAAACCATAACAATCATCTTGGAAGCGTAATCGCGGACGCGATGTTATGCCCGCCGGGTTTGGCGGCCCTCCCAGTCGGGCATCGCGCCCCCGCCGCTTTTGGCTGATTGGTCGCATGTGCCCCACCTTTTCACGTCAACACATATATACAACCCGCCTCCCTAAAGTCCCTTTCTTGTACTTTTGACCATTTTCTCACTCTTTTCCTTCCGACCTTTATCGGTTGCCTGATACGGCGTTCTTTGACCCTCATTTCCGACGACCCTGGCTTGGCCTCTCTCGCTTTGGCTGCCTGCCACCTGTTCCGATCCCCCACCTCTGGGCTCTTCGCAAAATTTTGCCCTCGTTTTGGACGATATTCAAAGCCGTACCCTTTCTGCCTTGTGTCTAAGACCTCGATTACTTACCGATCTTGGCCTTGACTTGGCTATCGACTTTCCTCTACGACACTTTCAGTTGGACCTCGCTCATCCGCTCGTCCGCCCCGCTTATGCTTCTTTCTTTTCGCGCCGACTGCATGTCTGCCTAGTACATCCTTGGTGCAGATTACACAGTCTGCCTATCCTGATAGGTTTCATCAATGCAGAGATACTAGGAGGCCTCCCGTGCATAACACCCAGGGCATCTCCGGCAGGCTGGATGCCTGATTGGTTATAATCGGACCGATCACCGGTTTGGTAATGGTGAAATATGCAGGAGCTCGGTCATGCCGGAGAAAAGGGGCGCGAAACTGATTCATCTGCCGTCTCTCATTAACAAGCTATGATTCAGGCTGCAGCAGGCTAGGATGGTGCGTATGGTTCGGAATTGAGGCCTTGAGGAAGCTGCCCAATTGGGACGAGCTGCGGGGCGTTAAGGTGACAAGAGTGAGGGAAGTCTCGCGTGGCGAAGCAAGCCAGGGGTCTGCAGAGGATCTCAAGATGACGCCGCCTCCCTGGTGCTATTGGTTACTCACGAGGTGCGCTGCATAAAGGAGGCGTTGATGACGAGTTTGCGCCTCTGTAAATGGCGGAAGGTTCATGCTACGGCCGGGCAGATACGAACCCTGGGAAGACGGCCAAGACAGCATGGTGGGATCTCGTCCCGTCAATGGGAACAGCTCGATGATGAGGACCGAGCTCCTTCAGGAGGTCGATGCGACTTGTGTTACGTCGGCTGAGCCGCTTGGAACAGTCTTGTTGGAGACCCCGCGGGCCATGTGCCATGGATCCGGGGACATGATTCGCTGAGACGGCAAATCCTGTCAAGGTCGCCTTCCCTGGTGGTTTCATTTCTGTCTCGGCAGTTCTATGATTGGCAGAGATACGAGGGATTCGTGAACGGACAGTCTCCTTTTTCTTGACTACAATGCGAAGGGCAGTTAGCGACCGAGCACGTTCCGTTGCCGTGCGTCAAGATTGGGGCGTAAAGGGAGCGGTAGACGGAAGAGCAGTGGCAGATCAGGATGAGCTCCCTGGGTGAAAGCTCCGATTCCGAAGATGGTTATATTTCCCTTACTGTCCCCGTACCCACAAGCCCGAGGATATTCAACTCGTGTGCCAAATGCTCTTCAAAATCGCTCATTCTGACATCTTACGCAGTTCGGCTGTGTCTGTATACCAGCAACATAATGGCGAACATCTCCTTGGACAGCCAGTCCTTTTATACTGCGGCAGGCCCAACACCTACGAGCCGAAATCCGGCATTCCTGTCAGTAGGCTACTCCAGGGACGATGCGCTCGTGATCTCCAGTAGCGACGAGTCTGAATACGGGCATGTTGACGACAGCCAGTCCGACACTTCAAAGGCCCAGGCTCTAAATGCCATACAAAACGCTTCGTTGGCGCTATTTGGCAAGCTTCAACAGCCCACTGGTCACGGATTTGTTGAAGTTCGCAGTGTTAACAGCATCGGTATGTACCTGGATTCTCCATCCTGCGCACTGGCCGTTCGGCTGACACCTCTGGGTAGACAGCGGCTTTAATGCTGCGTCCGCTGCAAACGCCAACAACAATGTCGAGAAGCCGTCCGTTGGCGAAGGGTCCGGCGTAGATGGTGAGTCTCCATCACGCCAACCACAAAAGACGGGTGGCTTAGAGTGCTCTCTCATTCCGCTGTCTACTCTAGTACTGCCACGACCGTCGCCTTCCTCCGAGACGCAGCCCGGGGAGGGGAGTAACCCGGTACCCACAGGCCATGTTGTAACGAAACCTCTAATAGTCTAGCTGCGTAAACCACTAAAGAGTCTGTTAGGGTTTGTGCTAGTAAGTAAGTCCTGCTGCGGAGTCCTCAAGCAATAATATCGGGGTCTGACATATGGAGTATAGTGCTTTGGGGTAACTGAAGTATTCAAGTAGGGTAACTGGGAATAGAGTCGTCAAGGCAGTTTGCCTCACCAATGGGTTAGATTGATGCTTAGATTGATCACTGAAGTAGAGACTGTCTATCTATGAAATGTCTGGGAGTCCTGTCCCTTATATATCCAATCCCTCCTTCACTGATAACTGGGGCCATTAGGTCCTTCATGGATACTATTGGTCCTAACTGGATATGTTGGATCATTTCATATCCAAATGATCCACCCTTGTAAGTCACGTGGCTTGTGATCCTTGTACTAGCTGGCTCCTCCTGCAGCTAGCCACTCCTGTGTGACTTTCCCCTCCTTCTTTGTCCTGTATCCACTGGGCCTGCCATCGGGCCTGTTGCATTGGTTAGAATCGTAGATTCGTAACACATGTCTCATATACGGCGGGGCAAGCGCCTGGTCCTGAGGAAACTACATACAGCAAGCCTACTGAGATACCTCGCGCTACATCGTCAGGGACCGCAGCCCAACGCACGCCTGGCCTAAGCGCTCTTTCCAGGCTTCCTCCTTTGCTGGCAGACGACGGCACGCGTCGAGAGAATACGCCTTACTATGACTCGGCAAGCGGAGGTGACAACGGCAGTAATGACGAAGTTACTCTGCCTCGATTCAAGCCGAAGTCAGGGACGTCCGCGGCTCGTCAGGATCTATCGATCCCGCGATACATTCACAGTCGATCCTGACGATCAGGACGGGACCGAAGCTGAGCAGCAAGCCGACGGCCGAGATGGCTGTCTGCGACACGACAGTATGAGGCTGGAGGATGAGGACGTACACCATTCCGCTAAAGGCAACGAAAGTGAAAAGGACGAGGAAGACGATGATAATTTTCGCCCGCCGCCCCGTAAGCGCCGTAAATGCCGCAAGACGAGATCTTCTAGGTCGATCTATCCCAGGGCGGCCACCAGAAGACAGATTCGTAACGTCTCTAAGCTAGGCCAAGTCCGAGTGTCAACCCCAGACCAGAAACAGTCCGGCTAGCGCAACACCCACGCCCAAACTGTCTTAACGTCCTAGGGAAAAAGGGACAACCTACATCCCTATAGCGAAGTTTGGAGAATGGCCGTTAAAGGATGCGATTCTGAAGCGTGTAACGATGCACGAGTTGGCCACTTTCCAGCTACAGTTCATATGGGACTTGACGAATTACAGGTATGAAGACTATGCATGAGGAACCTAGCGAAGCAAGCTACTGCCCGAGAAGCGTAACTCTGCAAAGCATCCGGCCAATAGGAACTCGCTGTCGTCGGGACAGACCGATGACCCTTCTAGTCCTGAAATCAATGACCAGGACGAATGGGAGGTCCAGAAGATAGTGGTCTCACGTACCTTCTATAGGAAGCTCTAGTACAAGGTTGAGTGGGTCGACTAGGATGACGACCAGGAGTGGTACAACGCAGCTATACTCAAAGGAAGCCCTCACCTCCTCTAAGAGTTCCACTCGGACTATCCGGAACTGCTAGGACCCCCTATCCGACTCGAACAGTGGCTTCAAGCCTACGAAGACGGCACAGAGGCTCCTGGTCATCCTGATGATAATAAGCCGGCGACGGCGGTCCCTATCGAAACTAGGTAAGGGGGAAGTCATTAGCCGTAACGTACCCCACAAGCAAGTTGGCCACTTTTTCTTGGCACCGTATGAATAACTTCAATAACTTAACTAAACTAAAAAATAATAATTCAAACTAATCGGAATCCTCTTCATCGTACGTATCTTTATCATTCTCACAAGTACGAGCATTATGTCCGGGCTCTCCGCAGATCCTACAGCGCCGTCGGCGTGGTTCGGCCGGTCTCGTACGACGACGACTTACACGTATACCATCCTCTAGCTGCTGTTCAATATCCCGTTGAGACTGTAAGTCCTGAGCGTCTCGTAAACTAAAAGATCTGTTACACGCAAAGGTGGTCAAAGATTTGTGAGGTTGTAAAAGCATGACATTCTATCTAGTCCTATGGAGCACGAAGGTTGGACTTAGTCCCGAAGGGATAAGTCACGTGGTAACCTTGGTGGTCTTGGCAAAGCCCACCAAGGTTGCCTAACAATGCCCCCTTCAAAGAAAATATCAATGTCATCTAAGAATGTTTGCTGCCTATAATTCCAATGAATCAGATTGTCTGGATCATATAATTGATCTTGTAGGATTTAAAGGCTGCTTTGTTCCAAAGCCGTGGGCTCGAAGCGTCGCTTTGACGTGTATTTCTTCCTTGCTGCCGGCTTGGAAGGGACTTCTTTCGCTTTGCGGCCTTCTGCAAGCATCGCTGTCTTGCGGTCTTGCAATGGTTTGATCTTTTGTGCGTAGGAGGGGATGTAATGAGAGAGGTAGCTTGTCATGCCGATGTATGTTTCGAGGGCGCCCAGTGTTTCTGGCATTTTCAGCTTACGGATCGCCTCAACGCGTCCCTCCGTGATAGCTTTACCGTATCCGTTGATAGTAAAACCAAGCAGATTGATGGATGGGTATCCGACAAATGTTTTCTTAGGGTTCACGGCAAGACCAACTTTGTCGAACAACTCCAGGATCTGTTTCAAGTGTTCCAGATGTTCCTCCCGGGTGTCGGAAAAGATAACCACATCATCAATGTATGCTGCCGCAAACTTGGCATGGTCGCGCAAAAGCCTATTCATAAACCTTTGCGCATATGCAGGGCTGTTGACGTAACCCATGAGACATACGTTTGACTATTCCAGACCCCTTGGAGAACATATGACCATTCTATCGCGGTGCGGTGGGTAGACTGGCAATTGGTAGAAGAATTGTGCCATGTCCGCAATTGTGAAATATCTCTTGCCTTGACATTTCTCCACGATTTCGTCGACTGTGGGCATTGGTTGCCTATCCGGCACTGCGAGTCTGTTTAGTGGTCTGAGATCCACGACAACTCGTCCTTTACGGACACCTTCCACAGTGCGGTATGTGACAAAGGCTGGGCAGCCAAATGGGGTTGGTCCCTTGCGAAATTGAAGCTTGCCTTCGGCATGCATAGGGTCAAATGTGTTGTCGAGAATCTCCTTGTCTTTGGTGCCTAGGGGATAGTGTTTTGCGCCCAATTTCTGATTCTGCCAGCCTTCGACAAGGTCGGTTCTTATCATGTCTTCCTCCGGCATCTTGATGATACCTCGTTTGCCGAATACAGCTTTGTGAGCGCGAATAGCCTTCCTGGCTTCCGCACTCCATTTTTTATTTGTCCCACATATGTGTATGCCTTCTTCCGTGATAACTTCCTCGATGTTTGTGGGTGGCTTCGGTTTATGGGCATTTTCGGACATTTCTTTTTTCTTAATTTTCTTTCAAAGGTCGTCTGGTGTACAGTCTTCTGATTGCAACATTGCCATCATGTCATCCGTCAGAGTGAATTCCTGGGATATCCATACGTCGTTGTCTTCGTCGTTGTCCGTTGGTGCCGGCTTGTTGGACATCTCCTCTGTCCGTTGTTCGTCTTGGATGATGCACGCAGTCTGTACCATGTTGGCTCGTTCCCAAGATGTCGCAATGAATCCGTCTTCGCCTATGTCGGTAAGGTGCCCCACTTTTTGCTTTCTTGTCAAACGAATGGCTTTATCGGACAGGTTGGTGTATGGCACGACCTTTGCTGACCTTGCATCGGTCACGCAATTGCTGAATCCTTTGGCGGATGCTATAAATTGGTAGTCTCGTCTTGAGCCGTAGTCATCGAACTCGTCCACATCTGCGTAGCAGACGTGTATGAGTGTTCGCGAGTTCGCTGGCACAACCGTTGCGGCTTCAACCAACACTCTGCGACGTATCGTATTTCGCTTCCGATATACCGTGATATCGGTTTCCATGCCGTTACAAGAGCTGAAGGTAGCTTTGTTGCGCCCGTAATCGATTGTCACTCCGTGCTCTGCCAGGAAGCTAGAGCCTAGAAGGATGTCTGGCTTGAGGTTGTCCATGATCCACACCTCCGCTGTAATAAGGCAATGTGTCGGTTTGCCCCGCTTGTTGCCTCGCAGAACAAATGTGAGTATTGCTCGTTCTGTCAAAGTCAGTGTTCCTCCTATGCCTCGTATGCGTAGAGTGTCGTTAGTCAGTATTTCCGCTTCTGGTGCGTACGTTTGCACCCACTTACGATCCGCTAATGTGTTAGTAGCTCCGGTGTCTAAACATCCGGTTGTTGGTTCGTGGCCTTCATATTCTATGTTCACCTGACAGTACGTAATACTTGCGATGCCTTTGTCGATCTTCTCAATCTTCTTGGGCTTCGCTTTCATGATGATCTCACCGGATTCCGGAATTTTGTAGGCTACATGTATCTGTGCTGATTGCTTTTTTGGTTCGTTGTGTTGAGTTGATTCGCAAGTGTTTGATAGCTCGTGTACGAACCATGCTTGTTCTGTTGGGAATGGCTTTGCGCATTTCGAACATGCGAACTTGTGTGTCTCATCACTTTCATTATCTTTGCGGTTTTGCGGCTGCGAAGGTGCCTCCTCGGCATGGCCTTCGTATCCATCATCAGAGTGGTCGATATCAGAGTTTATTGAGCTGCTATCATTCTCGCATCCGACAAAACGTCCGTCATCCTCCTCTTCACCAACGTAGATGAAACCCTCTTTGTTCAGGGTTTGTTCTTGTTCGTCAAATTCGCTATCATTAGGGTCCAAGTAATGATTTTCTTCGGCAATGTAGGCTCTGCCTTCGTATCTTGCTGTGCGGTGATACTTGCGGAATCGGCGGTTGCGTCCTTGCCTTCTGTTTCGGAAATCGCCGCGCCCACGTCTGCGAAATCCGAATCTTCTGTTTGAACGGCGGTAAAAGGGCCTTCTGTCGCCGCGTTCGTCACGGTTGTGACGGGGTTCGGCGTGACCTTTGAAGCGGTCACTGGGACCGTAGTTGTCGTTTCCACGCCAATTCCTTCGGTTTGGGTTGAAATAGTTTGCGTGTTCGTCATCACCGATTGTGATGTTTTCGTCGTTGTTGAGATGGTACGTTGCGTTAGCTGCTTGCAGCATCCTTTGTGGCTTCGCCGCATCAATGAGAGCTGGCGCCATCGGAAGCTGGCCTCGCACCACCATCTGACTGATTGTGGGCTTCTTATCTTTGTGTCCGCTGTACACCAGTTCGTCCCGATGTGATCGGACCTTTCTTTCGATATAGTCCAGATAGTCGTCGACTTCCAGACCTTCGGCATCTTCGGGGATGTGTACTTTGAGTCCTGGGTACAGACGATTGTATATATTGGTCATAAGACCTGTTGAGTCGGTGATATTCACCGCTTTGCAGACGTTCATCAGCTTCAGTGACCATGTGCGAAAGTCTTCGTGTGCCAGCAACTTCTCCCTAGTGTAATGGTTTGCCGGATCTGCAAGCCAAAGGTAGGCTTCTGCCGGTTTCATTTTATACCGGTCGACAAGCAGATTGAGGAAGCCTGTCAGACTTTGTGATAATAGGTTCTTCTTTTCGTCAGATAGTGTGAAGAACCACAATTCTGCCTCGCCCTTGAATTGGTCGGGTAGGTTGGCCTTGATGATCTCCTTCTTTGCTGGATTTTTTGCTGCGGCTTTGACTGCATCTGCGAACATGTGTACATTGCGATAGGTTGTGTCATTGCCGATTGTTGTCTTCTCGCCGTATGACTCATCCAGATCGGGGTTGAAGTAACCCAGCTTCTGGATTTTCCATCCGTGTGCTGACTGCTTACGGAACTCTGATTTCGGCATCGCTGAAGTCACTTCCGCAAAACGTTGGAAACTGTCTCCGATTTTGTTGAGTGTTTCTTTAAAGGTGCCGACCGTCTCGCCGACAAAGCCATATCGGCCAGAATAATCCAGTGCCGCCACGAGGTCGGCTATGCGCATGTCACGGTCAAGTTGTTCCCGTGCTCTGTCGCGTTCCCTTTGCCGCCTCGCCGCACGTTCCTGCGGTAGATTTGGTGGAGTATCCTCCATGGTGTCTTGACCCTCTTCGTCAATCGGTCTATCGATCAATGGTGATGAACTAGCTGATGACCACGGGTTGGCCGGTGACTTCATTCCCTTACGTGGTGTTTGTGGTTGTGAGGTCTGGGATTGTTGTGGAGGTATTTGTACTGATATTGGTAGAGGGGTTCGTCCGCGTGGCGCGGGTGTGGGGGATAATGTGTAGATACGTTGCTCAACAGGCGGTAAGCTGTGGGATCGCCTCCTGCCGATGTAATCGCTTGTCTCTTGTTGTAGCGATTTATCTTTGCATGGCACGACTCTTCCGAATTTGATGGTTTTGCGGGTTGGTGAGTTGGATTGCAACGGTGACAGCCCAGGGTCGGTCTGCTGGTATCCCTTTTCGCCTGCTTCGACGCGCAATGTGACGTAGTCCATGGGTGTCTTCCACTGCTTCCGTCTAGCTTCGGCCTGAGTCTGTTGGTACCGTTGCAGTTGCTGTTCCGCCTTTATGGCTGCCCTTGCCACTTCGAGCTGTTGATTTTGTGCCGGTGTTTCCTGAGCTTTGGCTGCTCCCGCCGCTGTGGCGGCCTCTGCTGCTTTGACGCCGTCTTCTCCGGCCAGCTGCCTGTTGTTTCTGTCTTGCAAACCTTTATGATATTTTATTGCCCTCCCCAGGTGTGTACGGAATAGGTTGGGTTCTACTACCCACTGGGGATCGTAGAGGTTGGTTTCTTGGCTTTGTGCTCTTGCTGTGCGTCTTCTTCCCACGTTGTGTTGTTGTTTTTGCAACATGTTGGCTTTGTACTGTCTCAGCTGGTCTTCCGACAGGTCATCGACTATTTCACGCAGTCCAACGAAGGCTTCGACGGGCAACTTTGTCACCGAGATGTTTGTCGGATGGTTTTCGATGTATTCCAATACTTGTATGCAGTTTTCGATGTTCTCGATGGAGAATGCCGGCATTGACAATACTTACTGATGGTAGAAATCGCCCATCATACGATGTAAGGCAAATAGATTGAAAATTTGTATGATAATTTGTGGTTGAACCAAGTCAAGGTTCCAAAGGCCGTGGGGTGCAAGTTTGCGAGGATGAAGTCTAAATGCTGATTAATTTGCTCGCGATGACGTCTTTGTCGTTGATTTGGCTACACCACGACAATCTGCTTTGCAGTGACAGTGCAAAGTCCGAAAGGTTCGATCAATCTTTGCAGTGACAGTGCAAAGACCGATGGATGCGATCAGTACGATTTGTGATGAGTGTAGAATTCTCGCGATGACGTCTTTGTCGTTGATTTGGCTACACCACGACAATCTGCTTTGCAGTGACAGTGCAAAGTCCGAAAGGTTCGATCAATCTTTGCAGTGACAGTGCAAAAACCGATGGATGCGATCAGTACGATTTGTGATGAGTGTAGAATTCGATGGTTGCCAGGCCGGTTTACCTTGGTCCCCAGCAAAGCTTACTCAACCGAGTGACCTCGGGCAGGGCTTTGGTAGGGTAGGTTGCTTTTGTCGTCACCTTTGGATCGTTGGACAACCGCAACGATCGTCAGGGAAAAAATTAGTAGGTCCCTTGTCGAAGAAGAGATGCTACCATTGTTACACGCAAAGGTGGTCAAAGATTTGTGAGGTTGTAAAAGCATGACATTCTATCTAGTCCTATGGAGCACGAAGGTTGGACTTAGTCCCGAAGGGCTAAGTCACGTGGTAACCTTGGTGGTCTTGGCAAAGCCCACCAAGGTTGCCTAACACAGGGTTCGCGATGGGCTTAATCTCATCCGAGATGGTAGTTACAAGTGCCGAACGACGCGGAAGGCCTCATACAGTCCAACAAGGCAATCGAGAATGGGCTACATGTTACGAATCTACGATTCTAACCAACGCAACAGGCCCGATGGCAGGCCCAGTGGATACAGGACAAAGAAGGAGGGGAAAGTCACACAGGAGTGGCTAGCTGCAGGAGGAGCCAGCTAGTACAAGGATCACAAGCCACGTGACTTACAAGGGTGGATCATTTGGATATGAAATGATCCAACATATCCAGTTAGGACCAATAGTATCCATGAAGGATCTAATGGCCCCAGTTATCAGTGAAGGAGGGAATGGATATATAAGGGACAGGACTCCCAGGCATTTCATAAATAGACAGTCTCTACTTCAGTGATCAATCTAAGCATCAATCTAACCCATTGGTGAGGCAAACTGCCTTGACGACTCTATTCCCAGTTACCCTACTTGTTAGGCAACCTTGGTGGGCTTTGCTAAGACCACCAAGGTTACCACGTGACCTAGCCCTTTGGGACTAAGTCCAACCTTCGTGCTCCATAGGACTAGATAGAATGTCATGCTTTTACAACCTCACAAATCTTTGACCACCTTTGCGTGTAACACTACTCGAATACTTCAGTTACCCCAAAGCACTATACTCCATACGTCAGACCCCGATATTATTGCTAAAGGACTCCGCAGCAGGACTTACTTACTAGCACAAACCCTTACAGATGTGAAGGTCAACCCTCGCAGACTCACTACAACCACGTGACTTGCAGCTGGAACACCTGCCATGGCAGTGCCAGATGGGAAGCCAATCATAACCCCTGCAGGAGCCCCGCCAAGCGTGGACGACTTAGTCGCGCTCCCTCAAACCTAAGTTTGTGATCCTCTTTCCTTCGCTCCTTAGAGTAGAATCTTGGTCGATAGCACCTAATCGAGGTCTCTACCAATGCGATGCAACCCAGGTCGTGACAACAGACTCTTTAGTGGTTTACGCAGCTAGACTGTTAGAGGTTTCGTTACAACAACACGACCGCCAGCGACGCGCTATCGCCGAGGAGCCGGAGGGCCCCTCGATGCGAATGCCGAAACAGGGCAATTACTCAGGCCTAAACCGACCGGAGGCGTCTACCCTATGCCAGATCAGGACCGGAAAAATAGGACTATCAGCTTTCTTATTTAAGATAGGAGCCTTCGGTGTGTACTCGCCGCTATGTCGCTGTGGAGAGGCCCCCGAGACGGCAGAGCACGTAATCCTCTTTTGCGGTCTGCTGGAAGGATCGAGAGAGCGCCTACGGGCCACTATCGCACCATGGCCGCTACACACACGTAGAGACCTGGCGACGGCGACAGGGAAACCAGCAGTCAGCGGGACTATCACAAGGTGGCTACTCAGGACCGGTCGGATAGCGCTTAGGCCCGGATAATATCGATCTTCTCAGGGGGACTTTGTTAGTAGGGTGAGAACTAACATAGTATTGCGGCGGACGTAACGCAGTCGCTGTGACGGTTGTCACGTGATTGACCTACACTGGTCTGAACAGATTGATAAGTGGTTGCAGATATCAAAGTCAGGGACTTTGGTATTGGTCTCTTTTGGTGAAGACATCTGGTACGGTGGCGTAGTGGCAAGGATTGCAACCCCTAGCACGGCGTGACAGTCGCTAATAGAGCGAACCTACGTAGCAGCGTATGTATTTAGTCCAGCCATTAGGGCACGGTTTGACATACGGGAGTACTTGTAGAGGTACCGGGGGCTTCGAGCCTACGGCGTATTTAATAATAATAATAATATTTACTATAACGTGAATGTACACCGAGCTGGCCATGACACCGAGCTGGCCACTTTCATGCGCCAACGCGACCGGCCAACTTAATCTTTGATTTTCTCAACAACCAATTATGGCAAAGTCATACAACGAAGCAGACTTAATGCTAGCCCTCCAAGCTCTCAAAAATGACCAAAAACTTAGTCTCCGACAAGCGGCAAAAACGTACCAAGTCCCCCGAAGCACCCTCCAAACGCGTAAAAACGGCGGCTCGCCCTTGTACGGGCCGAGTGCGCTGAGCTTCGAGAGGCAAATAAGATGCTAAGCCGGCGCCGGAGGACTAAAAAAATGCAATTACGGGAAGGAGAATCACTTATTTTCCAAGAAGTACAGGACCTACGGGACTCTAGGGAGTTGGCGACGCAGATACAGCAAGAAGAGCGCCGAAATGGTGGTCGCGCAAAGCGTGTTGAAACGCGCCCGAGGCGCTGTGGTATTTGCAACGCGACTGGGCATAATGCGCGAACTTGTAAGATCGCATTGCCATCTTCTGGAGAGGAAGATTCGGAGTAGTTTCAATTGATTTACGGCGTTGTGGTTTTACTATCGTAAAATTTCTATGCGAGGTTATGTAAGGGTGGCCAGCTTGGTGTCATGGCCAGCTCGGTGTACATTCACGTTATTTTCTACGCTTTAACGTCACCCACAGGTCAATGCCCCACACGGGTCTTTGCCCAACTTTTCACGACCTCCCAACCTTTAATCTTAGATAGATCAACAACAACCCGTCTGCATCCAAGAAATTAATCAGAATTCTTTTCATTATCTGTTTCTACATCTGCCTGACAAGTTCGCGCATTATGTCCAGTTCCTCCGCAAATGCCACAGCGCCTAGCACCCGTTGCCCTCCTCCTTGTAGGACGACTACTTTCACCCTCTTCCTCACTTTCCAAACCCGTATCACCCCTAATAGCCCGTAGAACTTGTGCATCTTCTATCTTAAGTGGCCCACCATACTGGATTTGCTTGTTTTTGGTTCTGCGACGTTTGCTTAGCACATGGTTAGTCTCACGAAGCTCTTCGTTCTCGCGACGCAAGATAACATTCTCTTGCATCATTGCATGCGTAGCCTTTGCAATCGAGTCAATTGAATGAAGAATATGCGTCGGAGAGCTGTCTTGATGCCTCTGAACGCTATTCTTAATCAACGTTGACTGCGATTCGGCTTCAAGGGTGGTAGTAGGTGTCTTAGAAGTCCAAATAGGGGGTTGGAGTTCTGGGTCGGCAGAGGGTGTACGCGCGACTTCTGCGACATCCAGGGCAGATATAACCCTGTCGGGGTCAAAAGGGACAATTCCAGCTGCTTCGAAACCAGATCTGATGTTTTGTTCAGTAAAAGCAGCGCCAAACCCCTCCAAAAAACCGGCAAGGAAATCCTCCTTCGCAACGTGGGTATGATGCCGTCGCATCAAACCCTCAACAAACACACCGTACGCCCGTTTCAAAACACTAAAAGGCACCAAGTCGAGAGGCTGGAGCTTATGGGACGAATGGGCAGGCATAGGAAGGGTAATGATGCCATGGTCCTTGCAGTATTGTTCGAAATCCATCGAGTGATGGCTTTCGTGACCGTCAAGGATCAGGAGGCGTTTGACACCCTTCGTACGATCGCGTGTGTGCAGATCGAAGTGAGCTGCCCAGCTGAGACCAATATCATTCGTTGTCTAGCCGTTGTGGGATAGATCAACGGCCTAATTGCCCGGTAATGTGGTGTCGCGATACCACGAAGCGAGGTGAACTTTGGCCGCGAAGATGATGTACGGCGGCACCGCCCAGCCTTGGGAATTGGCCGCCTGAATGACAGTAACCCATTCCCTAATGCCTTGCTGGGATTGCCTAGGCCTTCCACGTCTTTCGGTACTCGTAACGACCATGCCGGTTGAGATCATGCCCATTAAAAAGCCCGTCTCGTCAAAGTTGTAGATATCCTCCGGCTGGATGCCGTGCTTCGCTATTGTGTCCGCAACACGCTTAAAATAACCGCGATACGCGACAGGATCTTCGCAGAATGCCCGCTGGTAATCGATTCGACGATTTAAACGCGTCCGGAGGTCTGGTTGTCGCCGTACGAAGCTCGAGGCCCAGTTCTTGCCGACGGGTGACGCGTCGTGGTCCGTCGGAGGATATTCGCCATTTCTTCAACGTATCGAAGCCGGGGAGGAAAAGTTCGCGAATCTAGCTCAATTACGCGTCGGGTAATCGCATTCTCTTCGGTTTCGGTCATTTTCCGTTTGGACATGTTAGTAATATGTAATGGTTGTACGCCTTCGTAACGGCGCTTCAATGTCTTATGGTCGACTTTGAAGATTTTACCAAGCTTGTTCCAACTTAGGTGAGGATCGCGTCGTTTAGTTTGGATGGCTAATTGAAGATTAGCTTCACTAGATTTGCGTGCCATGTTGTGGAAGGGAAGAATTGTATAAGTAAAGATGGAAAGTCAAGATTTCTTGAAAAGTTGGGCAAAGACCCGTGTGGGGCAATGACCTGTGGGTGACGTTATATAGAACTATCTCTATATAGTCTATAAAATCTTCTAATCGATCTATATACGTAATTTTATCTTTAATTTCTTTCTTAAGTCCTTAATAGAATTATACTTTTAGGGCGTCTTCGTCCTAGTCTAAGTATAATAATACTTATCGGAAGGTAAGGGCGTGGTAGGCGGTTAATATATGGAGCAGCTAGACTTTTACATCATGGGTCATACTGAAGACGCTCCGAACCCTATGGGACGAGGTCGAAATACTCGTCTACTGAAGAATGTAGACTATATGTACACTCAGGTCTAAGTTGATTAGTTGAGAACCTATTGATGGCGGTATGATGTTTACCAATCCTCGATATCTACAACTTGCAACAGAATGCTACTATTGCGTGCCCCAGGCACATCGGCTATGTGCTAGGTGCAGTAATTGGACCAGTGGCCCGTAGGTAGCCCTCTTGTTGCTACAAACTCCCGGGAGTAAGTCTCATCATTATTATTGCCAATATAGCTCTCTCGCCTGTATTGCCCACATCTACCCATGTTCCGCATGAGAAACTGCCTGAAAGGACACAGTGATTCTGCTCGCCGAGAGAGGCTCCGGATTTATGTGCTAATGTCTTTCATATCATAAGCTTCTAGGCAAGTTCCAGGACATCGAATACAAGACTAGAACAACAAACCAGTAGCCCAGCCCTTCTATGAGGTATCCTGTCGAGTCATCATAATAAGCTAGTAACGCCAACGTAAACTACCAAGAAGGCACCTATCTAGACTCTAATTCCCCCACCTCGCAGTTTCGTCTCCCTCCTTCCAATTCTTTTCAATATAGCCCAGTTGCTTCTTGACTTCCACAACCTTGGCCTTGTCCCCTGTATTCTTGCCAACGTTGTCGCTGATCTTGATGGCAGGGTTTCCACCAGCCGAGCTCAACTTGATGACGATGTTCAGGGGGGTTGACTTTTGTCCTGTGGTCAACGACTTGAAATCATTGGAAAAGAACGTCCCAATACCGAATGTAGTCTGGAATCCGGCATCCTCGGACACCTTCTTGTACTCAAGACAGTTTTCGTTGTTCAATGAGTCAGAAAATACGATGGTCTTCTCGTCCTTGATCCCAGCACCGTCATAAAATTCGCGCATCAGCCCGACGAACGTCGCTGGGTCACCTGAGTCCTGGCGAACGCCTTGGAAGACATCGGCATAAGTCTTGTTTGGCACTGTGCCCTCGGATGCAGGTGGGATATTCGGCGTATCTGGGAGATACTTGACAGGTTTTGCGAATGCTTTCAGGAATGCGGGTGTACCGAATGTATCTGTCAAGGCGATGCCCAGGACACCTTCGCCAAAACACCCGATCCATCTTTTTAGAGCTTCCTCCGATGCTCCCTCATAGTCATTCGTGATAGCAGCAATTCCCATGAACCATTCATGTGCAACTGTGCCTATGGGTGCAAGGTCGAGCCGCATGGCAAGGTGCACATTACTAGTCCCCAAGAACTTGCCTGTCCAACCATTTTTGTCAGTGCCCTCCTTGGCCTTGCTACCGTCCCCCTTGGCTGTGGCCTCCTTGACGCCCTGGTCCACAGCATCCTTCAAGCCCTTGATAACCAGGTATTGCGTATGATAGTCTCTTCTTCTGCGTGTGCCAAACTCTGAGATTTTGCAGCCAGCTTGGAGCAGATTGACACCCTTTTCTTTGGCATTATCGAATTGATTTTCGTAGTTCCAATCCGTGTCCATGAAACGGAAATAAGCCTCGGATGCGAGGGCCAGTATAGGGATCTCGTAAAGGATTGTGTCGACCCATCTGCCGCGAATCTGTATGTCGGTGGAACCAAGGTCACTATCGGCTCCAGTGTCCTTGCCGACAGCTTCCCAGGTAGCCACGACTTGCTCCCGTGGGGAGAGACGGAAGTCTTTCAGAAACTCAAGGTAGGCCGGATTAAGGTATGGTTTGCCGTTCCCGTCGACACATTTCGTCTGTAGGAAGTGGTATTCTTCATCGGATAGCGAGATGTTACCGAGCTCTGGTAAAGAAGGGTTAGCTATCGGCGCATTCCAAGTTATGCATACTTTTAGATTTTGCGACAAAGGTACTAAGATTTTCCAGTCGGGAACATCGGCATGGCTGCCCACTGCCGTGATGGTTTTATACCATGAATAAGGGCCCGATTACTTACTGCTGATCTGATCGCTGAGCCATGTGAAAGCCTTTCTTGAGAATCTCTTCTCGGGGGTGCGGTTTGTGAAAGCATACGTAACAGGTACATCACGGTAGTATTTGAAAACAGCGCATTGCATCGTGAGCTTGTACAAGTCTGTATCCAAGAAGGATATGACGCCCTCGGGAGAGGGATCTGACGAGTTGAAATCCATGTTGACGATGCAAGATGAACGGCGCAACGAGGACGTGAATGTCGCAAGATAGAAGGCCTACTGTGTATTTGAGTATGCTTAAGCTCTTTCTTGAGATGTCGTCGCAGGAAGAGACGTAAGGTTCATACACTTGGGAGGTTGCCCCACCATTGGTTTGGAACCCCGCGTCTGCTGGCAGAAACGCGCAAGCTTTGTCCTACATGGTATCACAGCTGGGCCACTGCTTCTTTTATACAATGTGTCAGACTTGGCTGGGAAACTTGAAGATATAACACCATAGAATTATCTTACGAGTTACATATTTCAATTGCTGTCATATTGGAGTGGCTTCGTCTTCAAGTTGTCAGTCTCCGAAGTAGAGGTCAGAGGTGACGCTCGCGCGTTGAGGAGCACCGTGGAGTCCTTCTGAGTTGCTCTGCGTGGGGCTGCCAGCACAGACCACACCTTAAAATTTCTTGAGTGCCAAGAGAAAAAGTTCGGATGCAGATCGAGAAAATGTTCCTTCAGAATCTGATTTGTCTTGCAGGCCGTCAGACCGGCTGAGCTACCACACCACCATCAAGCACTGGGTCAAGATCAAAGCAGCAAAAATGGACATTCACCGCTGCCGCTTTGTGCCCTACCCGCCCTCGGCCATCAATGCTGTCGCATTCTCCTATTCCCACGTTACGAAGGCGCAGGGCAATAAAGTCCCTGTACGCCTAGCCATCGGTCGAGCGAATGGCGACATCGAGATCTGGAACCCTTCCAACGGAATATGGCATCAGGAGAAGATACTTCATGGCGGAAAGGACAGGAGCATTGACGGACTGGTCTGGGTCACCGAGCCTGACCAGGTCGCTGGCAAAGAGAAGGTCATTGGGAAGTCGAGGTTGTTCAGCATTGGGTACACCAGCACCGTCACTGAGTGGGATCTCGAGAAGGGCCGCCCAAAGAAACAAGCCAGTGGCTCCCATAGCGATATATGGTGTCTTGGAACCCAGCCGTTTGTCACCACCACGAAAGATGGCCAGACGGGTGTCATCCAGACCGGCAAGAAGCTCGTCGCCGGCACCATGGACGGCAGCCTTGTTCTATACTCCATCGACGATGACGATTTAGTTTTTGACCGAGTGCTGGTGAAATCTTCCTCCAGGAAGACAAAAATGGTCAGCATCGCCTTCCAGAATCGCAACATTGTGGTTGTGGGGTGTTCCGACAGTGCGATCCGTGTATACGATATGCGCAACGGCTCCATGATACGCAAGATGACTCTGGGGTCTGACCTCGCAGGAGGTGCCAAGGAAATCATTGTGTGGTCCGTCAAGTGCCTGAATGGTCGTGACATTGTATCTGGCGACAGCACCGGTCAAGTTTGTATCTGGGATGGCAAGACATACACTCAGGCCCAGAGACTCCAGAGCCACAAACAGGACGTTTTGTCTCTAGCGACGAGTGTAGATGGTTTAACGATAGTTAGCGGAGGGATGGACCGGAGGACAGTGCTCTACCGAAAAACGAGCGGATCTAGATGGAGCAAGGTCTGGCACAGGAGGTACCACAGCCATGACGTTAAAACTCTAGCCTCTTTCGAGGGCTTGGGTATCAGTGTCGTTGTCTCAGGAGGTCGGTCCATCTCCGTCGTTGTTACTACTCGCAGATTGCTAATACGTCGACAGGTCCTGATGCGAACCCCATCGTCATGCCCTTACGCGAAGCCGGAATGGAGAATCACCGAAGATTATCACAACTGCCCCAAAGCCCGCCCCTGCAAAGCGCTCCCGGAGCCAGGCTCGTCGTTAGCTGGTGGGATCGTGAAGTTCACATCTGGCGACTGCGGAAACCTCTGAGAGACATAGTAAATTTCAACGAGGTGGATTCTGACGTGAGCAAGAATCGCAAGCTCTTGGCACGGATCCTGGTTAAGGGGGAAGCCAACATCACATCCGCTACCATCAGTGACGATGGCTCGCTGCTGGTTGTAGCTACAACCTCGGACATTAAGGCCTTTCATTTACGATCTCGCGACGACGTTAAGAGGGACGAGCTTAAAATATCGAAAGTCGACGTCCCGCCAAAGATAGCAGCTTTAGGCGCTACGAATCTCAAAATGTCGCCAGATGGGCTGTGGTTTTGTGTGATCCAGGAGAGTAGTAAGATCACTCTCCTTCGCATATTGCAAGATGCCGATGCAGACAGCAAGCCAGCAATTCACCCCAGACCGGCCAAACTGAAACGGCTTGAGCGTGGCGTTCCCAAACGCATTGCATTTGGGGGACTTGGGCATTATGACAGAAGCATCACTCAGGTTACTTTCTCTCCCGATACCAAGATGCTGGCCGTGGCTGACATGGCTGGATATATTGACACGTGGGTTCTTCGCAACTCCGAACATACTCTTCAAGAGGGTACAGACGCCCAACCAGAGGACGACGCAACTTCATCGTCCGGTGAGAGTGATAGTTCTGCAGACAGCAGTGACATGACCGATAGCAACTCGTTCGGCTTAGTCTGGACTCCAAATCCGAATGGTTCGCTCGTACCGAAACTGTACGATGCACCCACCATATTGTCCTTCTCCAGTCACATCCCGGCCGGGACGTCGCCCGCGACTCGGAATGATGTTGAAGATAAGGTTGATGACTATGTTCTTCTTACAGTCACGGCAAAGCAACAGGTCCTTACACTACACCCAACTGTGGGTAGGCTCACACCCTGGTCACGGCGGAACCCTGTCGCAAGGTTCCCTGCCGAGTTCCGGAACATCCGCGATCTGGTCAAAGGTGCTCTTTGGTCTGGTACCAGGGTTTGGCTTTACGGCACCAGCTTCCTTCTGATGATTGATACGTCGTTGGATATCGCGGGCAATGACCCTACCGATCCTTCGTCCGCCATGGTCTCAGTCAACGGTCGCCCCGGCCAGAAACGCAAGCGCGGCGTTGACACTGGTGCTGGCAACAGGATGGAAATTGGCACCGCCGGGCCTAGGAGAGTTGAGCGACATGTCGAAGGAGAAGCGGCTCAAGAAATAGATTTCGACCTGCCAGCCCCAGATCCGATGGATACAGATGAGCCAAGCCAGCCCGAAGATGAGAGCGAAAGTGAGGATTCCGAGGATGAGCGTCGTGGTGAATTGGCACTACGACGCCAGCGTGAAGGACCTCAAGGTTACAAGGGCCATGCGATCGGCTTTTGGCACACGTACAAGTACCGACCAATTCTTGGTATCGTTCGTCTGGAAGGTGTGAAGGATGAACAGGCGAATGAAGATGACGCAGCATCTTACCTCAATGGGCAAGGAAAACAGTCATTGGAAGTGGCTCTGGTGGAAAGGCCACTGTGGGAAGTGGACATGGCGGAGAGGTATGTAGCAGAAGTGGAGTCGGAGCGGTAATGTCGTGGTCCATACCTAGCATTGGACATGGCAGTTGTATAAGAACTCGAACGTAATTGTACAGGCAGACGACATGTCGGATCCTATTAAGGAGCCCTCAGATACCAATTCGTATACATCATTCTGAAAACCTTACTGCTGCATAATCTTTTGAGTCCGAACGCTGGACACTTTGGCCTAAGCACTCTTGTATCAGTCGCGTAACTGCAGATGGAGCTCAAGCTGCTTTGCAGGTCTGCACACGCCGAATGTATTTTGCAAGTCCCCATTCCCTTTTACTTGTAAATCTTGCTCCTCACTCAAAGAAGCAAGCACGGTCTTTCACAACAAATAAATAGCATATCGTTTTCTAACCACCATAGTCTACCAATTATAATCCAACGTGGATATTCGTCGATATATTTCTTGCTATTCATTATATCTCTGTAGCTGCCGGATGACCCTACGAAATCAACATAGCTGATGAAGCAGGGCTGACGCCATACCGGAATAAACCAATCGCTTATGAATCCAGCACTGCCTACTCAATTATCGTCATAGCCTTTTATTTCCACTGAGGAAAATACTTATATCCGGCGCATGGGCTACGTGTCAGCGGTGGGCAGTGAGGCACGGGATGGAGTTCGCCCCTGACAAGAGTGAGCTAATGTACTTTACTAGGGCCCGAGAGCCCTTGCCGCAAAGTATTCGCCTTGGGGACGCCACAGTGTCGCCGGTAGTCTCAGCGAGGTTCCTAGGAGTCTGGTTCGACCGCAAACTGACGTGGCACGCCCATGTTGAGCGTGTTAAAACAAAAATGGCTACTCAAAAGCTAGCCCTGACAAAGCTAGTCAATATGTCGTGGGGCTGCGATCTTATACGGGCGAGGCTGTTATATACGGTGGTTATCCGTAGCGCGATCGCCTTCGGGGCGACTGCGTGGCATACTATAAGTGAGGAACCGGCAGGGCCAGCTAAGAGCCTGATGGGGATACAGAACGAGTGCCTCCGGGTAGTCTGTGGCGCCCACAAAGCGACGCCGGTTCGCCACCTGGAAGCAGAAGCAGCAATCCCGCCACTAGACCTCTATCTTAGTGCCCGGGCTTCTAAGTTTGAAGAACGGCTACGGCTTAGCGGGAAGGGAAATCTGCTTCGCAGCGTGAGCGCTAAAGCGTCACATATACTCCGGCAGGATAGGCCGGCGAAGAGGAAGCAGGCGTCGCAGCACTCCGACCGGCAGGGTACACTATGGAGAAGGAGGCCCGGGGCTCCGAGTGGATGAGTGAGGAAAAGGAGGTCCCGGCTGCCCTCCTCGGCCACTGGAGGAAGAGATGGCTCACCGGAGCAGAGCATCACGATCGCCAGCGACGCGCTATCGCTGAGGAACCGGAGGGCCCTTCGATGCAGATACCGAAAGGGGGCAAGTATTTCGGCCTGAACCGACTGGAGGCGTCTACGCTGTGCCAGATCAGGACGGAAAAAATAGGACTAGCAGCCTTCTTATTCAAGACAGGGGCTTTTGGCGTGTACTCGCCGCTATGCCGCTGTGGCGACGCCCCTGAGACGGCAGAGCACGTAATCCTCTTTTGCGGCTGTTGGAAGGACCGAGGGAATGATTACGGGCCGCTATCGCACCACGGCCACTATACTCTCGCAGAAACCTCGCAACGGCAACAGGAGAACCAGTAGTTAGTGGGACTATTGTAAGGTGGCTGCTAGGGACGGGTCGGACAGCTTCAAGGCCCAGATAGCATCGATCTTCTCAGGGGGGACTTTGTTGGTAGGTTGAGAACCAACGTAGTATGGTAGTGAACGCAACGCAGTCGCCAATAGGGCGAACCGACGACGCAGCGTATGTATTTAGTCCAGCCATTAGGGCACGGTTTGACATACGGGAGTACTAGCAGAGGTACCGGGGGCTTCGAGCCTACGGCGTATTTAATAATAATAAACTTATATCCTCCTGGGATACTAACTGCTTCAGCTCGCCGCTTCACAATTATAATACTTACTAATTGGTGACGTCTTAGCCTAGATATTAAGCCTGCTATGCTATATCTATTACCAATTAATAATAACTGTTCATATTAAATTAAATGCATCCACCTTCTTCCAGAACAACCTGAGATCTAAACGTCGATATTTCAACTATACCTGATAAACCACACTATAGTTAGAAGAGTGCAAGCTAAAGGTCTCAGGCTAGTATCAGCTTCTAAGATTCGACGCGTTTAAGCCCCTCTACTATCAAGTCTGGCAGAACGTAATAAGCCAAGCTAAATATTTCTTGCAGACTTTCGAGGAACTCTAGAAGGCGAATTTCTTGAAAGCACCCTCTCCGGATTATTATTAATAAACAAATTATGATATTCAATACATTTACGTCCCTTTATTATTCTTTTCGCATCTTAGATATCAGTGTGATCATAGAAGCACCAGAATATTCTGATATAATAACAAGCTGGTCTAACGCCATAATGAGAGGGAGCATCCTTGCTGATGAGCGTCGCAATTGGCACATCCCATGAAACCACCACAGCATGGTTGCAGCCATTGACAAGCTTGGCAGAAGTCGAGCGAGACTTCTCGTGAGCTGTATCACCAAACACCACTTGCGTCCCCATAATTGGTACTAAATGAGAGACCATGACAAGGAAGCATGGCATCGTAATTCTGACGTCATATGGCACGAGGAAACACCTAATCTCATGACAGAAACGGCTTCAACGTCATATATTTTAAACGTAAGCCTGACTGCTTAGCATTACCTTGACAAGCTCAACCACACTGAAGAAACATCGGTAGACCTGGCGCTAATACCATCAAGTTATTCATACAATGTCGACGTCCTGGCACTCATGTCTCGGCCATACAGTGATACTACTGCTGGCTGAATCGAAAGTGAATCCTTGGATTTGTCACGACCTGGGTTGCATCGCATTGGTAGAGACCTCGATTAGGTGCTATCGACGAAGATTCTACTCTAAGAAGCGAAGGAAAGAAGATGACAACTTAGGTTTGAGGGAGCGCGACTAAGTCGTCCACGCTTGGCGGGGCTCCTACAAGGGTTATGATTGGCTTCCCATCTGACACTGCCATGGCAGGTGTTCCAGCTGTAAGTCACCTGGTTGTAGTGAGTCTGCGAGGGTTGACCTTCACAACATTCGTGACATGAGTCCAGTGCGGTAAACCGACCAGGATACACAATAATGTAAGGTGACAGCAAGCCTAGACTATCACGTCACATAGACCAAAAGATCTAGGAATTCTGTCACTTAGTGACAGAATTGAGGCTTAACCCTGCTTATAGCTCTGTATTTCCTTACAGATAGCTAAATTACGTATCGAAAACGAGCAACCATATAAAGAACTCGATAAATACACTCTAGACGTACGCTAGCCCGTCGAGCCTAACCCGAATAAAGTATTCGTTAACTTATTAGCGATCCGAATAGCCTAGGATAAGCGAAATAAGCGAATACGGCCTATTTTACCAGAAAAGTAGTTAGAAATTGATACTTTTCTCGAAGGAAGGGTTCCTCCTAAAAAGAGGGCTCGAAAGAACATATCTAGGTCTTTAGGCGCTTAAATTAAGTATGTTTTATATATAATAAATGCGGACGAAGTATTTAGGTTGATGTAGTTAGACCCTGTAAAATAGGGGTGCATACAAAAAGGTGGTCAATGCGGTTAGTTGGCTAATACTTAGCGCTAACTTAGGAACGGTCACAGTAATAAGAGCTATGGGAAACGAATGCAGGTCCCTCTTGTATTTGTGATGTTTCTGCAGGCTTTCTAGGAGATCCATGTATCGCCCTCGGTGACGAGGCTTAGAGGTGATAGAAGTGTGGCTTAACAGCATACAATAGTTAAATCCTGTGAAGGTCAACCCTCGCAGACTCACTACAACCAGGTGACTTACAGCTGGAACACCTGCCATGGCAGTGTCAGATGGGAAGCCAATCATAACCCTTGTAGGAGCCCCGCCAAGCGTGGACGACTTAGTCGCGCTCCCTCAAACCTAAGTTGTCATCTTCTTTCCTTCGCTCCTTAGAGTAGAATCTTCGTCGATAGCACCTAATCGAGGTCTCTACCAATGCGATGCAACCCAGGTCGTGACAGCTAGTATCTACGACGTGCCTAACTTTAGTACGTATCTGTGGATAGCGATCAACGAAGTAATCCACCTAGTATTGTAACGGGGTAAGGCCGGACATCAGGGAAATAGGTTACGGGGGCTAGGGAGGGCTCCTCTGTCTTCCTTACTTCAAAAAGGGACACGGAGATAACAGGCGACTTTCAACAACTCGTCATCTTTTTCATCATCTTATTCAATCAACTTGACTTTTGTTTTCTATTCTAGTTAGCTAGCCCTTCAATTATGCGGTTCATTCCTACGTGCACTTAGACACTACTTTCGAAATCCTATTATTCTGCTCTTATCTTAGCCTTGACAATGACAAAAGCCTGTATCTTGTTCTGATCAGAGAAATCCAGTGCCAGTGAGAGCTTCAGTTCGACTCCCAGAGCCAGACGTCTTGTTCTGAGAATCATTCCGACGAGAGTCTCAGAGGCACATCCGACCAACTCGCGCACCAGACTTGCAAGAGCGAAGCTCTTGCAACCAGTACCACGATCTTCGTCTGATCAGACCAACAGATCTGTTGGTCCTGGAGCCGTCTGTTCAGTGTGTTAGGTGGTAGGTATATCCTACTGATCGCCTGGCCCCGTTTCAATATTTGCAGGAGTATATATAATCATAGCTCGTCCTCTTTCGTAGAACCAAACGCGCAGTTAATCATTCCTCCATTTCTAACATCTGTGAGCCGGTAGGTTGTGACAGCTACAGTCGTACTGGCAAATGTAGCCCCGCCGAGAGAACCGACAACGCTGCTGACGGCATTACTGATCATCATGCCACTGATTAGGGACAGATTGAGTTTACTCGAAATTCTACCATGAAGGTAAGAGGTTGGCGTAGGATTCGATTCAGACCCCCTCCACTTGTTAAAACTTCTCTGCAGTGTTTCTGCGGGGAAGTTTCATTTCATACTAACCTTGCCTACCTGATGTCCAACTTGTATAAACAACATATGGTTTTCTATATGTGTTCGTCTTACGTGCATCAACATTCAGCTTGTATGCGCCACCTACCGTTGTCACATTTCTATTGATTCATGTTAGATGTATTAACCGCCGCACAAGAGATTCAAGACAAGTCGGCTCCACTAGCACGAAACTGGCGCGCATCAGGTATGTTAACCATCCACTATAACTCACTAGTCTCCGAGTCTTGTAATGAAGATAAGATTGACATGGAGACCTGGTGGGTTGATATCATGTAGGGCCTGACAACACGACCCGTGGTTAAAAAGGAATCGTTCGTGCTCACCTGTTTCTTCTATTCTATTTGAAGAGGCCGGCCGGCTATTATGATGATAGATGTACTTCATTGTATGAGAAAGAAGTGGTGCAAATTTTCGTAAGATACGACGGGTAGAGTGGATCTTCCTCCTTCCTAATTTGATTTAGCGTCACGCCTGTTCGACGCCTAATTAAAGGCTAGTTATAACTGGTTGTGTCATACAACAACTCGACGCTATGTTAGCGTCGGTCCATAGAAAAGTGGGGCCGGTTGCTGGCGTATCTACGGCGTGCCTACTTATCTTGTTATTGTTGTATATGACGGCGAAATTGACGAAGATCTCACCCAGGCTCACCAGTAGGCGCCAAACTTACTAAGTCCACCAAACTCTTAATACACCAGCTATTGGTGCTTGTTAACACGACTCTGCCCTCACAGAAGATGTTGGACCTTTGATCAAAGATAAAACCTGCTGGCTTGCCATGAAGCTGTGTAAACGCAATGGTAAGTATCTTTACCGCGATCCATGGTATTACAGCTGTCAGGAGCATTGACTTTAATTTTCCGACCATTGGTTTGCTGCAATGAAACGAAGAAGAAAGATGCAGTCATGCTTCGAGAACAACCTTGTTTTCGCTGTTGACAGGTGACCAGTCGCTTACACAGGAAAAAATCCTTGAAGTGCATGCTTGAAGGATGCCAAGACTAAAGGTAGCAGTGGATGGAACAAAACCCGGCCGGCAATTGAGTGCAGCCTGCTGCATAGTGTTAAACAATCTGGTAATTCAAGTATGTTGTCAGGCATCCCAGTCCAGTCCTGTGGACGTGTGCCGAACTGCAACAAGGTGTAACATCTCGGCTTACTTGCGCGATAAGAAGATGCGTGCCATTGGCTTCACAATATTAGCCTGGTAAGAGATCTCATTCAGGGGGGCTCTGAAAAGCAATCTGGTGGCCAAAGAAGGTTGCCTACGAAACATTGTATTCAAGCGCCCGACACTTAGCGTTCAACGCCAGGGGAACTATCGGCTGTTGTTGAAGTGTGCTGATGAGCCAATGAGTGTCGTGGGTCAGGGGTGTTTACATAAATGCCCGTCCAGAGAACGTGGTTTTGCCCCGTATTGTACCGATGACCGTGCCCTCGGGCCAACCCCTAGCACCACAAGGTGATCGGGGTATTTGGCGGATTCCGACTGGGGGCTGTATTGGTACTACGAAGGGGTGCAAGGGACCAATCCGAAGTTGTCCCCGAGGGGTCCCTAAGTATTACAATCCGTGCCTGCCTGCCTCGTACCCCTCCATACCTGAGGCCACAGCTTCCCACAGTACGGATTATGTTGTGTTCCTTCGAGATTGTGAACAATGCATTGGATAACGAAGGATGTGCCCCACCTGGCCCAACTATGACCTGGTTTACATATGTTCGTGCTCCCGCTCATCAGAACTGCTGCAGAACCTGGGGTATAGATCCTGGTGCGAAATCATGCGTCAGAGAATAGATTGTACTGGGACTATCTCTGCATACCCATCGCGCATAATGTCACCCTGGGTTGAAGAATTGATGGAAAGCAAAGGCATGCACAGGCATGCACAGCCATGCACAATCATGCAAGGAACCATCCTTTCAGTTTCTGCTTTAAGGTTTTATGTGGGGAGTTGCATACTGGCTCCCAAACTACCTTAAATAGAAGGTGATTGCGGCGATCTTTTTCGCTTTCTATGGGCACTTGCATGATTTTCAACCACCCCCCCTACCCCCCCCCATACCAAACCAAATAAATGTCACTTGTCACACCCAGAGATCTACACTGGATGCCAACCCAGGATTGGTTACTGAGTTGATCAGATTTTTTAGTTGGATGAAAAGCGAACGATGCTCAACGATAACATTCGTCCTCGAAAGGAGGATGCTGGGTGGGGACCCTGTAGCGGGCCAGCCAACGGCAGAAGAAAAGGAACTTACCTACTTAGAGGTTATTATTTCCACAACAGATTTTACAATAAAATCAACGTTAATTATCTTATGATTTTGGTATCATCAAGAGAACTGGCCGCTGTTCAATTTCCCGTCTTTTGATTGATAAAATGCGTTGTTTGCAATATTGAGTGACATGCGAAGTGTGTCGTACTCCTAGGTAAATGCTTCAGCTGCATATGTCTTGATGTTTGGCTGTGGGGTTGTGGAGACCATGTCAGACCGAAGACCTGCCAGGCTATGTGAGGTCATGCAACCTCCAACCGCCAGTATTATATCCAAAAATTACATGCGTCTACATTGTACAATCTGATTGGATCACACTTCACCACAGCAACCACGGCCCCCAAACTCACATCCAAGCTTCAAGGAATCAATTCCATTAAGCTTCAACTAGACGGTAATTGGGCCTTCGGAAGTAATGTGGAATTGTGACACATTACTTGATTCGCCGGTAAAGCCGCCCTGGCCCCGAACAGCAAGTCGGATACCTTGGGTGAACACGAAGACTCTGTTGGCTCTCATGTATCAAGTACTCTCACATCCCACTGTTTTCTTTGATTCTTCAAGTAACTAATACGCCCAGATAGGGGATGGCCATGGCAGATTGAAGAATCATTCTTCCCTTACATCACCAGACATGGCTTTGGCCAGGTGATGGACCTAGCTAGACCTGGAGTTCGAGAATCAAATATAAAAGGGCGTTGAACGTCCGCTCAATTTAGGAAACTTCTTTCTTGCAAACATTTCATCCTCGAAGTACTTCAATCTTCAAGTACTCATCGACACCATCAGACATCGTGTTATCAAGCACTCTTCTCAGACCCTGTTCACGCAAGCACACAGTACTCCCTCCACTTACACCTTACCACACCACCAACATGCAGATCAAGACTTGTGTTCTTGCCTTGGCCCTTGGGGTTAGCTGTCTGGCAGCTCCTTTGGTAAGCACCCCATCCAACAGCACAAGATTATGCTTGCCAGCTGTATACTTTGAACCATTGCTGACTTGAGACTCTTTAGACTGTAGAGAGTAGAGGATATGGCATCTTGTCAACTGGCGAATCATCATCGGATTCATTGTCAGGTTCTCGAGCTAGAGGATACGGTATTTTGTCGACTGGGGAAGAATCATCACCGTCGTCATCATCAGATTCGAAACGAGGCACAGAAGTAACACTCCATTTCATAGAAATATCAGAGAGCTCCTGACTGACCCCTTTACCAGGTATCTACTGGGAGTTCCCAAGCGCTTGAGAAAAGAACGGGATTCGGCTTGCTCAGTTCTGGCGACGATGCTTAAACGGGAGACAAGACGGGCTAGACGGGCATATGGCATACATCACAAAGAAAAATATGGTTCTCCTATATTCAATTTCAGGGACTTACTAAGGATAGACTTCCTTGAATGTGATCCGGGGTGCTGGGTTTAGATATGGGGTCTCGCCGACCATTCAATCATTATGAGATTTGGTGTCAACTGATCGCTTTAGACAATTCAATTAAAAGTCGTTTCTATCTTATCTTGAATCATTGCGATTCTGCTTTCTTTGGCAAAGCTATTACTCTGGAAATTCTGTACTCCTACAGATGCAGCCCGATATTGCAGATATCACGATAGGGATGAATGGGGGCTGTCGCGGCATTTTACCAGGGGTAGCACGATGCTAATCATTGCCTACTTACGTTAGATCGATAAGGCTCAATTGATCACAATTCGTGCATTGGAGTTTTGGACTTGCTGCCCCCCGACCCCGAGGGATCGGATAACATGACCACCACCCCGGCTACGGAAACCCCGGCTAATTAGGCGACCAGATGGTGGGGCACTAAACCGAAGTAGGAAGGTACGGGTCCACTCTGATGGTCGCCAAATGACACAAATTTTCACGAGTTCTGGTCTGACATAACCCACACAACGCGACATCAAGATGGCCGGCCTTTTCGATTGGAAGAAACAGGTGAGCGCGATCGATTACCCATCGATTACAGTCTATAACCATCCAAATCTAATTATTACGATTCGAATACTCTTTTCCCCGTCCATTTTGGCTAATATTTCACTGATATTTGCCCAGCCGGCGTATCAGGCATACTCCTCTCACTCCGTTCGCCCCGATGGGCTGCCTCCATATGAGGTGGACGAGGTGATTCTTCCTGATTAACTTGATTGCGAGTCGAGTGCTAATCGATTAAGAATGGATTCTACAAGGTGGCTCCCGGCGAGCTCTATTGCCGTGCCTACGATAAGGAAAACGCCATCTGCCCAAATGACGTGAGTAATCCCAAACAGCGACTCAATTGCCTTTCGAGTGCTAATCGATTAATAGAGAAAGCAGTGGCAGCCGTCGAACCTCCGCCACCACCTGAAGACAACTCATAAGTACACCTTATTGGACCTCCCCCCGGGTAAGGCCAACGTTGTCGATGCGAAGAAGATCGACCGTAAGTTATTTCGTAATCTACTACTAATCGATTAACTAGGCTTCTACCAGACTATGAACCAGCGTATTACTGAGGCTGCCGGTACTACTGAGATCACCAATACTGAGTCTGGGTAAGTTAACTCTACTTACTCTAACTACTAACCGCATTGACCACCTTTTTGCATGCACCCCCATTTTGCAGGGAATTTCTACGCCTTAACAACACGACGTCTCTCAATTTACCTCGCAATTGCTCCCTATCTACGTACAAAATGGCTAATCCAGTGGAGAATAGTCTGGACGATTTTGAGCAGCGAATCGAACGCGCTAAAGAGCTTGTCCGTCAGGGCTCTTCCCAGGCCGTAGCAGCTCATCGGTACGGTATCGAGGGGACTACACTGTCCTACCGTATTCGTCACGGTAATTCGCATCGCGACGCGGCCTCCAGGCAACAAAAGTTGACTCCAGAGCAAGAGGAGGTTATCATGAACTGGATCCTACACGAAGAAGTGTGTGGACGGGCTCCTAGCAAGCGTTATGTGGCCGACTTCGCTGCCGAAATCCTCCTTGCTCAAGGGGATAACAATACACTCGGCCAACACTGGGTGGATCACTTCGTTAGCCGCCATCCACAGATACGTACCAATATTGGGTGCGTCGTAGATGCTAGCCGAGTTAGAGCGTCCGATTCGAACAAGATCCGAGACTTCTACACCCTCCTCGAACGCTTACGTACGAAGTATCGTATCAAACCCGACAACGAGTATAATATGGATGAGACAGGTGTCCAAGAGGGCGAATCTGGGCATGGTACGGTTATTGGGACGTCTAATTCACGCCGGGTACGTGTATCAAAGTCGGACGCTTCGTCGTGGTGCTCCTGGTTAGAGTACATTTCGCATACCCAACGGGGTACACCTGTCTGCGTATTTTCCGGCAAGAGAGTCCAAGCACAGTGGTTCCCAGACCAAAATATCCCTGAGTGGGAATACACCGCGACGAGTAAGGGCTGGAGTAATAAAGTTATCGCAAATAGGTGGTTAGATCAGGTTTTTCTCTCCGAGACGAAGCCTAGGGGTACTGAATGGCGACTCCTTATCCTCGACGGCCACCAGACATATATTCATGCCGAATTTATGTGGAAAGCCTACTCGAATAGAGTCGCCGTGCTGTATTTACCCTCACACTGCAGTGACGATCTCCAGCCGTGCCATGTCGGGCCGTTCTCACCTTTGAAGACCTACTACCGCCAAGAGCCCAGGGCTTAAGCTTCCTACAAGGCTACAGCCCCAATTTACAAGCAACGTATGCTAGAAGCATATCTACGTGCCTCGGAGAGAGCCTGTACTACGGAAAATATTAAATCTGGCTGGCGGAAGACTGGTATATGGCCCCTAGGCTCCGAAGGACTAGTCGACGTATCTTGTGATCCTCCGGAGCCTCATACACCAGATCCTCCGCCTCATATATCACCACCTTTAGTTGCTTTTAGTCCTCAGAAAGCGCAGCAACTATCTAGCCAACTACAGTCGATAGAGAAAGCCGAGGGCGGGGTATCTCGTAAGATTCGTACCCTAGTAGGCAAGGCGGGCAAGGCCCTTACACTCCAGGCCGCCGAGAATGCCAAATTACGTATCGAAAACGAGCAACTATATAAAGAACTCGATAAATACGCTCCAGATATATACCAGCCCGTCGAGCCAGACCCGAATAAAGTATTCGCTAACTTATCAGCGATCCGAACAGCCCAGGACAAGCGAAATAAGCGAATACGGCCTATTTTACCGGATAAGCAGTTAGAAATTGATACTTTTCTCGAAGGAAGGGTCCCTCCTAAAAAGAGGGCTCGAAAGAATATATCTAAGTCTTCGGACACTTAAATTAAGTATGTTCTGTATATAAATAACATGGACGAAGTATTTAGGTTGATTCAGTTAGACCCTGCAAAATGGGGGTGCATGCAAAAAGGTGGTCAATGCGGTTATTTGATTCACAGTGAATTAGCCCAGTAGCAACCCCTAGCAAAACCAAGCCGACTCTAAGCGAGTTCTCGCGTCGTGGTAGTAACGCGTCCGCGAAGGATGAGAAGCTGCCGATCCATCGCAAAAAGGCAGGTTACCGACCGCTGAACCATAGATCGAGTACTAATCGATTAGGATGGAACAATTCACGGTGTCTATATGCGCAAGTCAGTTGGCTTCTCCGGACGAGCCTGTGACGGGTGTATCGGCCTGAAGAGAAAGGCTGCGGGTTGGTGCCGCTATTTTATTAATACGATACAATCAAGTACTAATCGATTAATACTAGAGTGCCCCCCAGCCAAGCCCGATGGCGTCTGCGTGGTTTGGCCGAAGTTCAAGACTCCGGCAGTAATCGATCTGGAGGAGGAAGACCAGGACGAGGCTTAACAGGGGCTACGTTGCTTTACATCGCCGGGCGTTGACAGGATTCATAATTAGCATAAGGCATAGTCGATTGTTAATCGATTAGTGATAGCATTACTAGTAAAGCTTATCCATTTAGTCGTCTCCGCCTTTCTTCAAGTTCTAGCTCCTTTTCATCGTTTTGAAGCTTCAGAGCGCGCGCTTCTTCTTCTCGTCTAAGTATATCAACAGCTTGGAATCGAGCTTCCAGACTGTCCTGTGTGTGACCAGAAGTGTTTTGCGTTCGATGTGGATTGAGACTACAATTGATTAGCAATCGACTACGTATCGAATCAAACTCGAGTACCTTTTATGCCTCTTGAACTTCGATCTACTAGGTAAAGATCCCGATCGAGCCGATCCAGATGAACTATACTGTGATAATTCGCGGGCTTCAGAGACAGCTGAACTGGGGATACCTAGTTGATTACTACTCGAGGCATAATCAAATGTTGGACTTGGGCTAGGGATTGGAAAATCGCTGAAGCTCTCGGTCTCGCGACGTCGCTTTTGGATAGTAGTAACTACTTGATTATTAATCGATCTGTATTTAGATAGTAGGAGTGCACATACTTTCTCGCATAGTATACCTTGCATATCGATCTTGGATCGACGCTGGTCGATAAGCGTACGGAATGCTGAACTTCTTATAAATTGCTGCTGATTTGAAGTCCTTTTCGTCAAGTTGACGATTGCTAGAAATCGATTAGCTATCAAGTAGTAATTGAGTTAGGGTTATTACTTACTTCTCTACGCAATCTGCTACATATTGATAGCGGCCCCATAATGATAGCTTCGTTGATGCTGGACTTCAGCCGGATTTGTTGAAGGCGCCATTTTATCCCAATCGCTAGGAGATATCCAAGAACAATGCTGATGAACTCCACACTTAATAGCTGGTCGAACTTTGTGTAAAGCCCATGCCCGTAACTTAGGATTTGTGGAATTAGCTGTACTCAAGTAGTAGTCCATTAGTATTCGATTATTAATCAATGACGTCTGAGCTTACTAGATAAGAACCGACAAAGCTCATTATAATTCTCTTCAGATTGCATATGAAGAAGCTCCCTCATTAGAGAGAAGTCGGAATCAGGTCCACGGTTCTATAATCGATTAGCAATCGAGTCATACTGCACTTGTACTCCATTAGAATAAGCATACCGCTACACCAGTAATCTTTTCAACCCCTCATTGGAAGTGCACCTTGCAATAGCGAATTGTACTCTTCACATAATAAAGCCAACTTCCTTGTTGGAACTTATCATAAAGATACATTCCGAGACCTATTTTATTAGCGGTCGATTATCAATCGACTGTATATAGAAGCCTTACGTACCAATAATTAATTTATAGTCCTGGTCAGTTGTAAATCCAATAACGTCCCACACCCACATCCGGGACACCCCCACATGTGGGACACCCAAGAATGCCTCATCAACACCGCTAGCCTCTAACTTCAACCTCTTTTATCTTTACCAATATCGATTCAATCGTTACGAAATTTTACGTACGTCTTCTTTACACTAATATGAGTCAATATACTGAAGATGATATTTATCGAGCTCTTCAAGCAATAGCTACCGTTCAAAGCCTCCGAAAAGCAGCATATTGTGAAGGTCAACCCTCGCAGACTCACTACAACCAGGTGACTTACAGCTGGAACACCTGCCGTGGCAGTGTCAGATGGGAAGCCAATCATAACCCTTGTAGGAGCCCCGCGAAGCGTGGATGACTTAGTCGCGCTCCCTCAAACCTAAGTTGTGATCTTCTTTCCTTCGCTCCTTAGAGTAGAATCTTGGTCGATAGCACCTAATCGAGGTCTCTACCAATGCGATGCAACCCAGGTCGTGACACATATGAGCATGGTGTCCCAAGGTCTACTCTTTCACGACGGATTCAGGGAGCCCAGTCAAGAGATATAGCCTTCGCTGACTACCAGAGGCTCTCTCCAGCCCAGGAATCTCATCTGGCTGAATGGGTTCGAATCCAGGCTGCCCTAGGCCTCCCACCAACCCATCAACAGCTCAAAGTCTTCGCCGAGCGTATCCTACAGATCCACGGAGACACCGAACCACTTGGAAAGAACTGGGTCCAGGCTTTTATCAAGAGGAACCCTTCAGTCAAGGTCCAGAGAAGCAGAGCTATCGATTCCCAGCGTATTAATGGAGCCTCAGCTAATGTGATCAGGCAATGGTTCAAATACCTCGCTATCCCTGAGATCAAAGCTATGAAGGCCTCGAATCGATACCATATGGATGAGACAGGTATTCTAGAAGGTAGAGGATCAAATGGTCTTGTTCTAGGATCATCTGTGACTCGTTCTATACGGAAGAAACAGCCTGGATCTCGAGCTTGGACATCTCTTATAGAGTGTATCTCTGCGACTGGTACTGCACTACCCCCACTTGTGATATACAAGGGGAAGTCTGTCCAGCAGCAGTGGTTTCCTCTGGACTTGACTCCATACGAAGCCTGGAGGTTTACAGCAACAGAGAATGGGTGGACGTCAGACTCTACGGCTATTTGTGGGCAAATCGCAGCCCACCGTTCATTGTTGTTCTTATGACTATCGTTACTTGCCGTAAGCTCTGGCTAATCTACAGTGGCCACACTGGGTGGTCCGTGCGGGGCCGAACACTGCCATTTCTGCCCACACGCCCTCAAATGGCCATGTAAGGCTCGGGAACGTCAATCCAAGCCTATTGAGAGCATGTTGCCGAAAACTAATGTACTCTTTCTGCCGTTCGTGACCGCCTGCACCATCCAGCCTTCTCGATCTCACTGTCGCTCCTACCAGTCTTTCCTCGTGTTAGTTGCTAGGGACTAGACCGAGCAATTCGATGGATCGCTGGTGTTTCGCCTTGTCGAGCGGCTTCGTTAGCCCATCTGCAGCGTTGTCTTCACTGGCTACATGCCTGACAGCGACGTTGCCGGCGTTGACTTCCTGTGTAACGTAGTGGTATGCCACGCGAATGTGACGCTTTTCCTTCGTCATGGACGAATCGTTCGACCACTTGATCGCGCCCGTGTTATCCTCTAGTAAGACGATCGGTCCTTCTGGCATGTAGCATAACTCTGTGAGAAAGTTTCGAATCCATGCTGCGTCCGCTGTGGCCATGCTCAATGCCACGAACTCTGCCTCGGTTGTTCCTCGCGCCACTACTGTCTGCAACTTCGATAGCCAGCTGATCGGACCGCCAGCCATGAAGAAAACGTAACCAGAGGTCGACTTTGCTCCATCCTTGCCGGCGTAACTCGAATCAACTGCTCCATGTAGGCCAAGCTTGCCGAACTCCTGGTGTCGGTGGTCACGCCTGTATTCGATCGCCAACCTGTTGCCTTTCAAGTAGCGCGGGACTCGTTTAAGGCTTGCCTCTTGTTCAGCCGTAGGACCGCACATATATCGCGCATGGGCTGAGGTCGCGAACGACGTGTCGGGCCGACTGATTACGGACGAGAAGTTGAACTTTCCAACCATCGATGAAAACCCTGTAGTTCTCTCAGGGCTAATACGCTGGTCTACCGCTCCCATGTACATGTCGTTCAGGCGCGATGGCTCAAACGGCGTGTCCATTGGTTTTGCGTTAGTAAAGCCAAGGGATTCAACTGCTTTCTCGATGTACTGCCGTTGATCGAGGTTGACACTGTCATCCTCGCCACGAGTGATCCGTACGCCCAGGAACCAGTCAGCGTCTCCAAGGTCATTCAGCGGCACCTGCCTCGCCAAATCCTTGGCTACTTGTTGTAGACGCTGCTTATTAGGGCCAAACAGGAGGAAATCATCTACGTACGACGCAATAATATCTCCTGTCTCTCGGTTGATGTAGATGGCGTCGTCATACTGTAGGGGAGTAAAGCCTAGCTTCTTGAGTATGCGCCGTGCTTCGCGCTGCCACGTAGCACCGGCCTGCTTTAGGCCGTAGAGAGGGTTCATCAGCTCGATGGTCTTCTCTGGCTCGTACTTGTACTTCGCCTTCTCGTCTGGGTACGCATCGAAATACTGTTTTAGCAAGGGGAACTGCTTCATAAATATTCGTTCATACAATTTTCCATTAAGGTATGCCGCGATGAAGTCGATTTGATAGACATGCCAGCCAAAGATGCTTGCTAATGCCATTAAGATGCGCCACGATGTCGCGCGCGCTGTTGTTGCCGATGTCTCGTTGTAATCGATTCCTCTTCGCTGTGAGAAACCGCGTGCAACGATACGGCCTTTTAACCTCTCGAGCTCGCCAGTAGATAGGTATTTCTTCTTAAGTACCCATTTGGCGTCGATAAGGTGACCCTTTATAGCCTCCGACTTGTCGCAGAACCGGAAGGTGCCTTTCTCTAGGTTGGTGCGTATCTCTGTGAAGATGGCCTCAATCCACGCGTCCTTTTCCGGTCCTTCCATCGCATCCTTGAACGTCGGCGCGTCTGGCGTCTTGACAGTCAAGATCTCGAAGATCTGTTGTAGGCCGAATTGCGTAGCCATACCGAACAATATATCTTCGCTGCCCTCTCGCTCGAATATGTCCTTATACTCTTGCTCTAGCCAGTGTTTCGCTAGCTCGGTGTTCATTGCTTCGTGGGCTCGATCGGTGGGATTCGTATCGGCGAACTGGTCAGAGATGTCGGTCGATGTGTAGTTGACTCGTACGAGGCGGCCGGAATCGAGGAATTCGGCAGAGAATTGAGAAGCTTCGTCGTCCTCTACGCCCTCACGCCAGCAGTGACGTAGGAAGTCGTCTGGTGGCGCCTCGAGGACGAAGTGGTTATCGCTGTCATCGTGTTCCTCAATCGTTGCATGCCTGACGGCTGGATGCTTCCTCGGTCTGCCACGCTTCCGTCTAATGACGCCCTCATCGTCTGTAACATCGTCGTCAACGACGTTATTGTCTTTGTTCCTGACCTTCGAGATTGGCGTCTTGCCATGCCTATGGCGCAATCTCTTCTGTACGTGCTGCGGTAGGGATCGCACGATATCTCTGGGATCCGGTGTGTCGGTAATGTCGCCAATCGTCTCGTGAAAAATGACGTGTGGTGAGCGAAGAATTCGCCCACCGTGGAGGAGCCAGACAATGTAGATGTGCTTGCCTTCATAGCCTAGAAATAGTGACTCAACGCCGCTGCCTTCTAGCTTCTCTGCTTTGACGCGCTCCGCTGGTTCACGGTAGGCCACACAGCGTGTCCCAATGATCCTCCGGTGATCATGAGATGGTTTGTGGTCTTCGCCGGGTTCTAGTTCGCGCCAGCGCATTTCGTGTGGCGTGGTGCCCTTCACACTAGCCTGCCCTGTCTGATTGAAAACCTCTGCTACCGCAGCTGCTACGTAGTCCCAGAAGCAGCTCGGTATCTTCATCTGGATGGCAACTACAGATGCTCCTTCCTGGATCATCTGTATCTTTCGCTCCGCCTTGCCATTCTGGTACTGATTGTGGGGTGACGACGCTATGATCTGCGTCCTCGTGTTGCGTAACTTAAGATCGGCTACGCCGAACTCCTTACCACCGTCTATTCGTAGGATCTTGACATATCTACGCGGCTTGTCGTCGGCCGGTAGAGCATCCAACCTATCCTGCGTGAAGGTGATGTAATCGTTGATGTGCTCTTGCACACCGTTCTTCTTCGCGTGAGAACAAAAGTCGACGTCTCCGCTCTTGTCGTCGATAATCAGACTAAAGTAGTGCTTGTTCTCGACTGTGACCGGCTTGATCTCGCCGACGTCACACCAAAGGATCTCTCCGACATAAGTAGCGCGTTGTTGTACGTCCTTCGAGCTAATCTTCTTTATCTTGGCTAGATCGCATGCGATGCATGGGATGACTTCGACGAGCCTGTGGTCGAGCTCGATGCCGGTGGTGTAACGAATCGTCCATATGAGCCTTTCTGCGCTAATATGGCACAATCTGCGGTGCCATAGGACGATCTGTTTCGTCAATTCGTCCGTGACCATGACTTGGCCACCAACTGTGGCCGTTCTGATGGCCGCTTTCATCTCGTACGCTTCTTGCTCACTAAATGCTTCCAAGCCGGCGCCCTCAGGCTGATCAA